GTGAAAAGTCCTTAGTTTTGATTTGCCTATTTGATATATGGGATACAGTACGGTTAATGGTAAAATGGAAAAGGCAAGAGTGTAATTGTTCTATAATGGGTATCCATCCTCCTATACCAAAGTAGATCTTTTTTCAAAATATAGTGCAGGATGTTACAGTTGGTTTCAGTATCTTTGGACTAGAGAGGACCAAATTGTTGGGAGTCAACAATGTTGAACACTGCCATTGTTTTTACACAATGTCAGCAGTTGTCCATTCTGGTGCTATCATAGTGCTATGTCTAAGTTATTGGAGCCATATGACCGCATTGTAGCAGTGTTTAGCTGTGTTGGTTAAAGGTTGAGTAGCCCAAGTTGATATTTATTATATGAAGAATTTGGATTGGGGCACAGATGGATCAACTGAAATCATAGGAGGCTTCATGTCACCGCGACTGACTGCATACGTTTTTTCAAACACATCTATTTCAAACATCGTTTTACGAATGTGATGTTTTCAGAAGTGTTTTGTACTTCCTTGAAGTAGACAGAACCGCTCGATAAACTTGAAATTGTCAGTGTTTGCATTGATACTTGCAATATTTCTTTATGTTTTCTGGCACACCAACAAATTACTTTTGTAGAGCGCCTTTTACATTGGGAGGACGGCCCAAAGCTCTGGACAGTCAGGGAATTGGATCCGAACTGGGGGTTGGTGTCAGAGCGGGTGGAGGGCTGGGAAGGTGGCCGAATGCACGTTCGAAGAGGAGGGTCTTGAGACGTGCTTTGAAGGAGGCAAGGGCGGGAGCAAGACAAAGGGACTGTGGGATGGCGTTCCAAAGGGTCAAAATGCTACTTTTGCAGTAGCTCCAAGATTAAAGGGAAAGAGAAAGAAAATTATCCAAAATGTCTACCTAAATCTCCACTTAAAGGATTTTGAAATTGCCAAAGAGAGAATAAATTAGATCCAGTTTCAATACAACTGTGGCGAACTTTGAATAATGTTCCCTAGGATTAAAGGTTATATGAACTGTGTAACTATTGCAATTGATGCTCAACATTAAGTTACAAGGAGTAAAGTTATGAGTAGACATTTCAGACCATGAGAACCCCAAAAATAATTGCCCATTACAAATTGGTTATTTATTATAACTAATTAGTGAATGACAATATTAGTCATTGGAGCTAAATTTCAAAATCTGTCCACCAGTGTTTGTCAGGTGGTTTAAGATTTTTTTATGAAAGACATATGAATGCAAATTGTTGGACCTGCATTTGATTTTAAATGAATGAATTCAGATGTACTAATGGATGTAAAATGTTTTATATGGCAGGATCCGGAAAAATTCTAACATTCAGCTTCAGAAGTAAGCTTGAAGAATTGGCATCTAATTTTATTAAACTCTTACAGGAAGCTAATACTTTTTTTTCTTCTTAATAAAAGAGTGAGGCAGCAGTGGCACAGATGGGAATTGCCAAATGTCTTTCCAGAGTAGGAAATCCTTGGTTTTGATTAAATAAAACTTAATTTAAAAACATGTTTAAAAATGTTTAGAAACTGGTGAGTGGTTGAAACTGCATTTTAAAATGTAAATGCCTCCTTTTAACTTGAATATCTGAAACTTTAACTTTGTACTTTAGAACATGTTCATTGAAGTTTAATTTTTGATGATGCTAAAAATTAGTGCTTTGTGAAAAGTAAATTTTCATGTTGGCAAATGGTTTCTTAAATATGCTAAACTGGGTAGTTGTGGGTCTTCCTCCTCCCCCTTTCTGAAATGAAGTGTAATTTGGAAATTTTAAACTGCAATTTTGACTCTCTTAGGCTAGACCAAATGCAACTTATTTTAAACTTTTTTTTAAAAAAAGTGTAATATTCTTGAGGGATACAGAACAAAGCCATTCAGATTCTGTTCAGTCGATGTCCTTCCTAGTTAGCTGGCATTGAATGTTTGCAACTGCTACCTTGTGGAGTTAATTTCCTAATTTATTTCTTCAGCAGCGGGTGGTACAATGTTCCACACAGCAATTCTGAACTTGCATTTTTGCATTCGACATTGGGTACAATACTGTGTTAATTACCCATATATTAGCAGTACACTTTAGGAGAAATCTTTGGGTCCTAGTGCTTTTCCTTGCACGTGGCTTGTACAGCTAACTTCAGTTTAGTCATTCTACTTCTACAAATTCTAGGCAAAGAGATGGAGTGGCATCGTATTAATAATCATTGCTGGAGTACAAGATATTGAGAAATCCTAGTTGCAAAATAAGGGAAATGCATGGCTAAACTTTAAATTTGTTCTAGATACGATAAACTACAGTATCACAGCATGATTGTGAATTTCACCAAAAGAGTATTACGCAAAGATGGTTGATCGATTGAAAAACAAATTTGAAATCAGCAGGTTCAATAATTCGTCCAGTTTACTGTACTGCATTTACTGTATGTGTAGCATTTCTTTGGAGGTTAACACTAAATGAGGATGGTTAATTGGCTAACTGATTAACCTTAAAGTTCCCAAATCCTACAGAGTTGATGCACAGAAGGACAAATTCCTGATTAGTCTCCAAAAGAGTGTGAAATGCTTACGAAGTGGGGTGGGGGAGGATGTGTTAGGAGAGAGTGTGTGTGGGGGGGGGGGAGATTTGCATCATAGAGCTAGTTGTTCAGGATTTTTAGTGGGTGGATGGGAAGATATCTTGGAAGAGGACCAATTTTCTTGTGCTGTTTTATGATCATTCTTCACTCTATACTGATTTTGTGCTGTTGCATGTTTTGTAGCTGGCATGTGAGCGAAGTGTACTGACCTAATAATAACCTATTGACCCAATATTAATAACATATTGACCCAATATTAATAAGACTGGTGTTTAATTCTGTTTTAAATTAAATGCAACTTTTTCCTGTCTGAACAGGATTAAAGTTATTTCTTTGCAAAGAATGTTTTGCAGCTCAACCAAGCAAGGCTATTTTTGCAGAGTGTATGTCTGAAGGGAGCATATTTCACTGTTACCACAGCTTGGAAGATTTATTCAGTTTAGAAGGATGCTGTACCCTCCAGCCTTTTAAATCAAATGTGTTGGAATGCACACTGCTTCCTTTCACTCTTACTTGAATGAGCCCTTAGTATTTCACACCAAGGTGTCCTTCAGGGTGCTGGGTCAGGCTACCAAAACAGCTTCTATGAACGGATTAGAACCAATTAACATCTTTGTACACAAAAGCTGCTGGCAGCTGAACAGGCGGCCTTGTGACCTGTTCAGGAGCTGCATGTTAAACAGGGGGTTGTGTACTTGAGCTCAAGTGGAGAAGGGGTGGAGTGAGTTTTTATTTATAATTGAAACGGTGCTTCCAGATGGATTATGGATAAAAAGTACTGAATTAAATTGTGCAAAGAAAGAGATCGAATCTAAGTGTAATTTTGAAGCAAAACAAAATGGTTTCTTTACATAAACATAGCATTAAAGTGGATACTTTATACCAAGCTGATCCCACTTAATAACCTACTTGAAAATTATATATTCTGGTCTTTCACAGAATTAAATGCCATGTTCCAAACTGTTTTTAATAGAAATCAATGTTGCACAGTGAAATATTGAGTAAATGCAAAACCTTAAAATTGCAGCAAAAGTGTAATTCCTACGCCAACCAATTTATAAATAGTTCCTCTTATATAATTAAGTTGACCAAATGCACTATTCAGTGACTTCAGATTGTTTATTTCTAGACATGGTGCCACCATACCTGGTTAACCTTTTTTCCTCCGTATTGTTGACAGTCAGTTTAATTGTCCATTATAGAATTGAGTAGTTGCACTGGGGTCTTATTGTGCGGTGGCAAACTTGTACTGTTTTAGAAAATGTCAAAAGCAGATCATGGGGAATGTTATAAAAACAAAGGATCTGTTTAAGATAATTGACCAAGCAGAAGTCTTTAAAAATGATCTGTTAATTGTATTAAATGTTCTGCAGAACTTATTTACACCTAATTTAATGATAGTACAATTCCACAAGTAACTGAATGGTTTGCTGTGCCCCCAAATAGTTATGTGTTAAGTTCTGGAACTTCTTAACTGAAAAAAGAAATACTGTAGTTGATTTTGCAACACTGTTATACGGTTTTCATGCTTGAACAATCTGCCTTTCCTCTCCTGATGTTTGCTTATTAGTGGATGAAATGCAGGTGTGTGTGGGAAACAGCAAGCGAACATTGACAGGTTTATTCTGTTGGCTGCAGCCTAATTAGTTGCATAGTGGATGCACCCCGCTAAGCTTTAGTGCAGTGCAGTAGAGCTGGTCTGTTCTAATTTCCTTGCAGCTTTGATATTGGTGAAGAGATTGACGGATTATACAAAAAGCAAAGCGTGATAGAGGCCTATCGAAACAATGCAGTCCTTACTTCAGCCACCACAGATGTGAGAGAAGGCTGATCAGAAACAAATGTCAAACCTAGTCAAATTGTCTCCTCTGTCTGCATGGGTAATATTTTCCCATGTAAATGAAAAGGGCAAGGTAATAGCCTTGTGTGTGCCTCTTTATTTGCTCCATCACATGATGGATGGAATACTGCTGAATGTTGCAGTTACATATTAATAGGCCATTTTTCTCACTTCCTTGGAAACTTAGCAAACTGACATCCTGCAACAAATTAGTTTTTTTTTCTGTTTTAACAATTGAATGAGACTCGGTGACAGTTGACCACCTGTGTGTATCACGGTGATATTTGGTAAGATCACCAATGATTTGAGTGATTGTATCAATTATTACACATTCATTTTCAATATAAATATTAAACATCTTAATTTTCACGTAACCTATTTGTTACCCGTCTATGATCTTTGTCCAGCCATGCTGGTATAGAAACTAAAACCAGTAAATGACGAATAATGAACAATGTAAAATAGCTTCTGAAACTCCTTTTGATTCTGATCTATATTTAACTCCATAAAATGTACACCACATTTTCTGGAAAATTGTAAGAATTTTGTGATCAAATATTTTATCTTGTGTTCTTTTTGCAGCATACAGAACTGTGTCTGGGGTTAATGGACCACTAGTGATTTTGGACCAAGTAAAGGTATTGTCACTGTAAAAACTGAATGTTAATGTTAAACTCACCTATTGCCTGGAATTCTATTTTAATCTCTAAACCTGTTTTGTCTTAATGTAAAATGGTGCAGGATAGTGGAAAATTATTAAATTGGGTCTTAATTTGGAAGCTGGTTCATTTTAAGAACTGTGGAGAAATGGCTTCCATGTTAAGATTGAATTGTTAACAATTTTCCACAATTCTACTAAATAAAGATACATTTTAAGAAAATATTGTTTTACAGGCTAAGTTTAGGTGGAACTTTGGGCAAAAAGTGGCAATTGAAACCCAACAAATGAACCACGAGAGCTAAAGAGGGTGTCAATAGACTACTTAATAAAGATAACTCATAATTAGCACTGAAGTCTGTTTAATCATTTACGCTGACATTTACATGTATTTTGATGCTATCCAACGATGTAAAACTATTAAAGATGACTCATATGCTGACCACGGCAATTGCAAATATTGGAAATAATGAACTATTGAAATTTAATTTTTCAATTAAACATTCTTATGTTGGACTTGGACTAAAAGGAAATGTGGTTGGATAAGCTTAGAATGATCCAGTAATGCTGAGCATTGCAATTTACAAAAATCAGTACTGTTACAATACCTTACGGAAGTTATTGCGGCCAAAAGATGATTAATCAACAATAAATGATTTGAGAATCTTGATCTCTCATTTAACCTACAATTGCATATTAACTTATGCAATGTGTAGTATGAATTGAATTTGTTATTGTAATTTGTCTTAGAATAGGGGGTATTATATTGTTTCTAATTGTTTTGTTCTTCATGATCAGTTTCCTAAATATGCAGAGATTGTGCATCTGACTCTACCTGATGGCTCCATCAGAAGTGGACAAGTTCTGGAAGTTAGCGGCAATAAGGCTGTAGTACAGGTAGGTATTTATCTTGAAATTATGTAATGTTAGAATGAATTCTCAAGTTTACTGTAGCTGCATTATTTATGATGGTTGGAATGAATCTAAAATATATAACTTGATTGTATTCAAGCTTTCTATTGCCAAAACCCTTAAAAAAAATCTCTTGCTGTACATTTAGTCATCATTCTCGTACTCTTTCCCTCTTTTCTTGACTTGCTCTGTGATCCACACCACCTATGTAAATCACTGGTGAGACATTTGGTTTGTGAAAGGCACATAAGTGCAAACTGTTGTTAGCTTCATTGATATTTCTTTAATGGACAAACTACATCAATTGAATTTTCAGCAATTCACCATTCAGATTTAATGTAATTTTTGTACTATCTAATTAAACCTCCCATAGAAAGTACAATCTCCCTCCAGAAAACAAATTAACAGAGTGAAGGATGGTCTGTTGTTTTTGTTTCCATGCTTCCAATTAATTATATATTGTGTATTACTCTTTTTTAAAAAAAATAGAAACAGGGATCTTTGAATTGTACTTTCATCACTTCTCTTGCACAGGTGTTTGAGGGAACATCAGGTATTGATGCCAAGAAAACAGCCTGTGAATTTACAGGTGATATTCTTCGTACACCTGTGTCTGAGGACATGCTCGGTAAGTAGATCCTGTTATCTGTATAAAGCTGGCCTGCCAGAAACCTTCTTTTAAAATCAATCATGGAATTGATTACTTAAGATTTTTTAAAAAGCAATGAATTTTAATGTTGTTTTGCCAAAATCTCAATCTTTTGCAAAGAAATATTTAGGTTAGAATCAATTCCAGGTGCTTTGTTCTTTTTTCAATATGTCTGTACTACAGGACCTTAATATTTTAAATGTCCTGGTTCTATTTCTATAATAGTTTAAAAGCCCTGTAAGGAGATTAAACTTTAAGCAGTGAAAACACATTTCTGTGCAGTGTTTTTCACATCTATTTTGAAACTGCCTAATTAAAGATTAATTGCCATGTGAGACAGTGTGCACTGTCTTGAATCTGCAAGAAATTAATAGTTGAACGGCAATTTAAACATAAAATTACAATACTGTCATGTTGACCATAGCAGAAATGAACCACAGTGTTTGAAGCTTTTCTTTCATTCACCACATTGTTCAGAAATGTATTGTAACTTCAAAACCAGTGGAATCTAACATAATGAGGAATATTTCTACCTCTGTTGTGTGGTTTCAGGTTGTAATAGTGAAATATTGCTTGTAGGGTACCAAAGGTTACTAAAAGTTTAGGCAGTAGTGGATTCGCCATTTTCTGTTGCACACATAAGCTAAAGTTATTAAAAGGAAGCTTTTAGCTGTGCATCTTTTTGTGTTCAAGTGGCCATTAGCTTGCTGTATGTCATCAGTTGGCTGTAGTCTTTGTTCAAATCCCTCTTAGGTAATTAATGGGAGACTGCAGCCTCTTTAAAGTAATTTCATAGGTAATAGGGAAAACTATGCTCAACACTCACTGCTTCTCAGTTTATCATGTCTGCATGTTTAGATCAAGGACATTAAAAAAAAACAAGGGTTCCAAGGGGAAAGATTCTGGAACTTTACATTTTTAAACTAACTATTTTAATGATTTTAAACTTCACTGCAGAATGTCCAGGCTATGAGAATTTAACAGCTTGGCTTTTTTTTTACAATCTGAATTCAATTTGCAATAAACTGTCTTAGTCTTTGAAGAATGGTTTCTTTGTGTAATTGTTTGCAAACGCAACACAAAATTGCTTGCAAGCTAGATACATCAATTAGATACAAGCTTTTTTTTGTCCTTGGGAAAAGGAGTTCAACAGTCTTGCTGGATTGATCGGTAAGTAAGTGAAACAGACTTTAAATAATTTTTAATTTTGGTGATGAGTAATCAAGCAAAAAGCAATGTTCCTTTACAGGTAGAGTCTTCAATGGTTCAGGGAAACCAATTGACAGAGGACCTACAGTACTGGCTGAAGATTATTTGGATATTATGGGTGAGCTATTGGTAACCTCAAACAAAATGTGATTTGTGTTTTGTGTCAATTGAATTTTAACCCTCATCTGAAATGTTGCTGATTTTCCGATAAAATTACAGTATCTTTATACTGTAATATATTTTCATTAATTACTCTTAAAGAAAGTAATGTGCTTGCTAGATCATTTCAGAAGTCATTAACAGCCAAGCAACAGCTTACTTTTTTATATATTATATATATTATATATTGTGTTTATATATACATATATAAAACGTCTTTCATGCAGGGTTGATTAAAAAAAATCAACACATAATATTGACATTTATTTTTCCTTTATTCTTTTGGATCTTTTTCAACTACAAAAATGGTCGTTAAGTCGCCAACAGATTTCACTTCCTGTGCAGGAAGTGACCTCTATAGTGACCTTACAAACTGGAAGCTGTTTAGTAGCGCAAAATAATGTTTTAAAAATTGATGTTTAAATGAGTTAGTTAATCATTAGTTTGTTAGTCGATTGGCAGATTGCTTTTTCCTGGGGTAATAAGCCCTTTTTTAAAAAAAAATTTAAACAATGAGTCACACTATCCACAACTTTTTATGGGACACGGCTGTGCACAATTGGCTGCTGCGTTTCGTCCAAAAAATACAGTCACTACTCTTTATGGTGTGTCCTGCTTTTGAGACGTCTTGAAACGCGATAAGGGGTATATCAAATGCAAGAATTATTATATTGTAAAAGAAATTTCTTTTCCTGAATTTGGGGAAATAGAAAACCTGATCAATGCCTTTTCCAGAAACAAAAAAAATGATGAGTCTAATCATATAATTGTATTGTTTAGTTTTTATCCATAATTGATAAAATCCTGGAATTTCAGGATATAACCACTGCAAAAATCTTAACTTGTCAGATTACTTCAAAATGGGAATTTAGTAACTAATAGGCTGCTGTAGGTAAATTGTGCAAATCCTTTTGCACTTGATTTGGACCTTGAACTAAGATTAACTAATTGTTGAATATATTAATTTCATCACATAATACTGTTCGTTAATTTAGTCTTTGTTTGCTTGACATATTGGATCTTAGGTCAGCCCATAAATCCACAGTGTCGTATCTATCCAGAGGAGATGATCCAGACAGGAATTTCAGCGATAGATGGCATGAATAGTATTGCCAGAGGACAAAAAATTCCCATATTTTCTGCTGCAGGGTTGCCACACAATGAGGTTGGTAAACTAAGTGATTCATAACTATCGCAATAAGAAGTAAGCTTGACTGTTGCTGAATATTTCACTGGGAATATAATGGTCAAGGTGATGGATAAATGCCTTCGAGAAGTGCTTCAAAAAAAGATAGAAACCTCGCTAGATATCTTGTTCTGAGATGAATTGTGTTAACAAGCTCATTTTGCAGGCAAAACAAAACTCTAGCTATCCAATTTAATTGATCTGTATTTTGCGTTTATTGGTTGCATTATTTTGTACAGGATGTTACTAGTATTTCATTGACCCACATAGTTGATTCAATTGGAAATTGATGTATGATGGGGAAAAGCATGAGTGTTGTGTGCAATAATAATTAATTTTGTCTTGGAATATGGTGGTGCATATGAGCAACAAAAAAAGTGTAGAATCGTGATCGATGCTATCAAGGCGGATTGATTGAAAATATCAATGCACGCCAGCTGGTATGTTGAGTTCTTTCAGGTGGTCAGTTGGTTGAGATAAAATTCAAGAAGCTATTATCTCTAGTTGGACAGTCAACCTGCTGAATGAAACCAACTTCCAAGAAGGGACAACATAGTGTGAACATAAAATACTTACAGGACAATTTGACGCGCTGTCCATTGCTTATAGCTTCCTCATTAGAGCTCCCAATTCTAATTTAATTCTGCTGTGGTCAGTTATACCACATTGTATCTAAATTATTATCATTATCCATTCTTTCTGGCTTTCTGATCTTCAATTTCTTCATTCTTATTACTGATTCAGCTTTTTATTCTTCGTATCATCCAATTGAACCTTTGCTGTACCTTTTACAACTGTGATTAAAAAGAGGCAACGGCTTCTTATTTACTACATACATCTTGATGATTGATTGATTTTGGAGTTTGTATTCCATTTGTAAACTTCTGATTGATGGCTGAAGTGCTCATATCACTGGAGTTTTAACTAAATTATTTCCGTCCTCTTAGATCTAAAAGAAAACAAAATGTAAATTATTAGCTATAAACTAAGCATCTGTAAATGCCAATCGAATAGAACCTCAACAAATCGATAACTATGCTTGTGAAATTGAAATGTTGTAAATTTTGCTTTCAGTAAAAGTAGACCTATTTCAGCATATTTGAAAATGTGACTTGGGTATGATTTGAAATTTTCTGAAGTCCTGTAGCTCAGTGATTAGACTCGCCTCGCCAGCGAGAGGACTTGGGTTGGATTCCTGGCAGAGCGAAACATTGGGCAAGTTTTCTTAATCCACATGCCTCTATTTACATAGTAGCAAGTAGGAAATCGGTTGTTAAGTCGATTGGTAGATCGCTTTTCCGGGGTAATCCCTCCAAAAAAACAAACAAAAAAAGTTTGGTCACTTAATCCATGACTGTTTGTGGGACACTGCTGTGTGCAATTGGCTGCTATGTTTCACCCAAAAAATATACATCAATTCACTTTACAGTATATTCTGTGAAGTGCTTTGAGACATCTCGAAGACATGTTAAGGTACTATATCAAATACAAGGATTATTATTATAAATCCAGTTTGCAACAGTGTAGCACCACTATTAGATCTAAAAGAAAACAATATAAGTTATTAGCTGTAAACTTAACATCTGCAAATGCCAATCAAATAGAACCTCAGCTAGCTGCTTACTCTGCTTGAAAATTTGTGTGTGAAATAGAAATGTTGTAAATTTTCTTCAGTAAAAGTAGACTTATTTCAGTATATTTGAAAATGGACTTGGGTATAATATGACATTTTTCTACATCATCTAATTTACAAGACGGGTAATGCTGATGTATCAATTACCTAATATGTTGTTAAAATGCATTTTTTATTTAGGTTAGAAATTCCTAATTGATAAATGGGCAATGGATGTGATGAAATATTTAACTGTATCATTTGTAACCTCCAAAAAGTCAAATCATTTAGAGAGGGCATTAAATAGTTGGTATGAGAAAGTACATTGGAGTCTGTGATTTTCATGAAAATTCGTGTCTCCCTTTCACAATTGAGTTCAGGGTTGATCTACCAAGGGATAACTCTTCTATCTACTTGAGATGGATTTGTCTAAAGCTTAAAATATAATAATGTTACTGTGACACATCTGCAGTTTTGATTTTTTTCCCCTTATAAAACAAGATTGTCAACAAGATTCATCTTTTTGATACCTATCTCAAAGGCTTTTATCTGTCTCCTTTCCAGCTTCACTGAAAGCTGGTGGTATATAATACATATTTCACCTTGTTTAAAATGAGCTAGTTCATCGTTAATGGGTGTGTGAATACACATGATTCCCATAGATTTTTTGACAGACGTGGTTTAACAAAAGGTTATTTCAGTTAGCTTAAAGGTTTTCATCAAACCAATGTGTGTTTAACGTTTTAACATAGCATGGAGCCTTTCTAATCAGAAACTCACTTAAGCTTGAAAAGTGAGAACAGGGTGAAGCACAGACTACAAAGCGAATGTGTTCTATTTTTTTTCAGATTGCTGCCCAAATCTGCCGTCAAGCTGGTCTGGTTAAAAAATCTAAAGATGTCATGGATTACAGTGAAGAGAATTTTGCCATTGTGTTTGCCGCTATGGGTGTAAGTGAATTGAAAAAGGGAACTGGGAGGGGACTGTGGTTGTAGATCTTGTTAATTGGTGTGCCAATTAAGTGTGTTGCTATTAACGATGGAAGGGTACAGTGGCAGATATAGCTCTGGTCGAAGCTGTTGGTGGTCCACAATTCCCTGTGCTCTGAAGGTCAGTGGAATGTCATGTGAAGGGAAGGATTTGGTTTACATTGTCTTCAATGCAGTAAAATGAACCAGAATGGAGCTTGTAATCCAGATAGAAAGAGCAGCAATTAAAAATGCAGGAAAGTGGTTGAATGAGACTATATTGATCTGATTGTAGAAATCCTAACAGTTATATAAGAGAGGAGAAGGCTTCGACTAGTGGAATGACAAACGAGGCCAAGGTGTTAATACCGTATCCATAAAGTGGCTCTTCTTTCCTCTTTGAGAAGGCCAGAATTTCAACATTTTATATCCCAAATACATCTTGTGTTAAGAATTCGGTAATTCAGTTTCATCTGGATTAATTTACACTAGGTTACATTAGACCGCTACATATCAAGTACACTGCATACATTTATAAAAACAAAATTTGTGAGGAGTCCGGTTACAATAATGTAGTTTGATGTAGTTGGAAGTTTGTTGAAAATGTCTTAACTGTTTCTTAAATTTTCCATTAAGGGATACTTTCAGTTCAGATGTTTCAATGTAATGTGAAATTCATCCTCTCCCATACCAAGAGTGGAGTCCTGTAGCTCAGTGGTTAGAGCACTCGCTTTGCAAGTGAGAGATCTGAGTTCAATTCCAGGCAGAGGGCGAAACCTTGGGCAAGTTTCCTTACTCCACACAGAGCCTAATAATAATCCCTCCAAAACAAAACAATAATAAATCGGTCATTTTCAATCCACGACTGTTTGTGGGACATTGCTGTGCGCAATTGGCTGCCGCGTTCGCCCACAAATGTAGTCATTTCACTTTACAGTGTTCTGTGAAGCGCTTTGGGACGTCCTCCCGACGTGAAAAGCGCTATATCAAATGCAAGGATTATTATTATTATTAAGAGTCAGTTCTCACCTCTCTATTGTCACCTCCTCTCTCACTGGTTTTCTGAAAATGTAGGATTGAAATTCTATCTCGATTCTTCTGCCTAACTATCATTATTATGAATTCCACTTGGACTCAAGTATCTAGTCCATGGCGTGATCTTGTGAAAATTTGAGAATAGCAGTTGTTAGTTGTTTCAAGGTTTTGGTTGACTATTCCATTTTTACAATGTACAACAGGTTAACATGGAAACTGCAAGGTTCTTTAAGTCTGACTTTGAAGAAAATGGTTCTATGGATAATGTCTGTCTGTTCCTGAATCTTGCAAATGATCCGACGTAAGTAACTTAATATAATAACATTCAACACTTCTATAAGTAGTTCATTGATTACAACACTCGCTTCACAAGTGAGATGACGCGGGTTGGATTCCCGGGCAGGGCGAAATGTTGGGCAAGTTTCTTTACTCCACACGCCTCTGTTTACCTAGGTTAGTCGATTGGTGGATCGCTTTTCCGGGGATAATAACCCTTTTTTTGAAGAAAAATGCGGTCACTCAATCCATGCATGTTCGTTGGACACTGCTGAGTGTAATTGGCGGCCGTGTTTTGCCTACAAAATTTGCCTACAGTAATTTCACTTTACAGTACATTCTGTGAAGAGCTTTGAGATGTCTAGAAGATGTGATCAGGCCCTATAACAAATGCAAGGATTATTATTATACTGCTTTGATTTTTTTTTCACCCATTGGAAGATTCTTTTCATTGGAAAATTCATTTCAACCGTAATAAAGTGTGTGATTTGCTTAAGCTTCCAGATGGGTAAAAAGCTCTCAGCTAAATAAAGCGTGGATGTGATTTTTTCTCTTAATTGTTGTATAAACTGGGTTGAAATACATGAATTTCTGGTACTATATTAAACTGAATACTGAATGAGTTGTTTCTCCATATTACAGTATTGAACGTATCATTACTCCTCGTCTCGCTCTCACTTGTGCAGAATACCTTGCATATCAATGTGAAAAGCATGTGTTGGTTATTCTAACAGACATGAGTTCTTATGCTGAGGCTCTGAGAGAGGTATGTGCATCAGTAATTTCTTACAGGGACCCGGGTTGCTGGAACAATGTATGAAATGTTCAATTTAGACACGGGTGGTGATGTTTAACCTAATTTTAAATCTTTTTGTTGAGCATTTGAAGCTGTTCATAAACATAGCTCAGGGAAATTGAATCATAAAATATACAATGACAGGAAGTCATTTGATGTGCTTATGACACTTGAATATACAATTTGTCTATCATGGGCTCCACTAAATCACTCAATTTGCTGATAGGCAACCAACCGTAGGCAAAGATAATAATAAAAACTTGAAATATCTGATCCCTGAAGGTAATTGATTAAAGCTGAAGGATATTAATATAAATTGAAAATCCGCATATAGGCCTTTTAGTCCTGAGGATATCTTATTGCGGTCTTAAAATTGCTGCCCTTCTTCGAATATTAATTCATTGCATTATTTTCTTGAAATGTGAGATTACTTAATATTTTTAAAATAAACCTTTTCTTGTATCAACTTTAGTGAAATGGAAGTTGAAGGGTGCAGGAAGGGAATCTCATGAGTTATGAAATCCTGTGCATTTGCCTTAAATGGACTTACTGGGTTTTGAAGTTCTTCCTAACCTGTAACCTGCTGTAGAATATGGAAGAGGCTTAGTACAAATTTAGTGTGGAATTGCGTGACAGTGTAAAAAAAAACAGCACTCACTATAACTGGAGGACATTACAGTCCTTTGAAAATGTTACTGCTGTAGTGTAGATAGCACTCACAATCCCTTGAGTTTACACATAGTAAATCCATACAAAGAACAATTAGAGAATTTTCCAAGATGTTTGAAGTGCTTACTCTGATTGTGATATCTACATCTAATTTATTGTATTTGTTTGCCTTTGTTGGGTGTTTCTTTTTCAGCCTTAAAACAGCACATAGCTTTTTTTAAAAAAAGAGCAATTTTAGTATGATAAACTATTTCATCTAGCATTGACCATCTAAGATTACAAGAGGTTATTGAAACGAATAGTTTTCTTTTAGACTGAAGTAGGGAGGCTTCTTTATTAAAAGTATTTCTATCTATTTCTTACTGACGGCTGTTTTACAAAGAACAAATGTTCCATTTGTTATCTTGAAGCAATCTACTAAATTGCATCTCAACCTAAGCTAAAATAGTTAGCATTGAGCTTGAAAATGTGTTGACCTTGATGCAATACAGTGTCTGCCTTCGGTTTTGATAAACTACTAATGGTGAAGTAGTGCAACACGTACTGCTTTTTTCCCAACCCTTTGGGCTCACTGGAGTTCGGAGTATTTCAAAGATTCCTGAAGTGGTATGAAATGTCTTTTTTTATATTAAAAGAAGACTTATTATCTAAGCTTACACGGGGTTATTGAAATGAATAGTTTTCCTTTAGACTGAAGTAGTACGTTAAAAAAGAGACTTGACGGGAATTTCTTTGGATGTCAACCAGTTAGAATTGGTAACTTTGTTCTCCTTTCGTTGTCCGTTCTGTTTATGCATTCAGCAGATCTTAAAGGAATTCTGTCATTTTGTTCAGTGTATTTTGTTTATAACGAAGTAAGTTTTCTCTTTATAATATCAAAGGTTTCAGCCGCCCGAGAGGAAGTACCTGGCCGTCGTGGTTTCCCTGGTTACATGTACACAGATTTGGCGACAATCTATGAAAGAGCTGGGCGTATTGAAGGCAGAAGTGGCTCCATCACGCAGATTCCTATCCTTACCATGCCCAACGATGGTTAGTAAAGTTTTCACAAACAAGTGTAGAATGAACTCCTATCTCAATATGTTGCACTTAATGTGAGAAAATATACATTTTCCTTTAAATTGAGATCAAGTGGGAGTGTATATGTAGTAACCATTTTTTAAAAAAATTTCTCGAGCTGTTGAAAAATCTGCCTTGTTTTTTCTCACTTTAGATATCACTCACCCTATCCCTGATTTAACTGGCTACATCACAGAAGGGCAAATCTACGTTGATCGTCAGCTACACAATAGACAGGTATGATTAACTCAAGATTGTTGGAAGCTATCTATGAAAAGAGGCCTTCGTATTTACAGTTTTGTTAATATAAATTGTAGATACATCTAGTGCAAAGTGAATGGACGAAGGATCAATACCAGCAGAGTTAGACCTCACAAAACATTTGAATTATGATCAATAATAGCACCTACTACTGGTAACTTGCAACTTGACTCCATCGAACTTTTGGAACTAAAACCTTTTAATCCGCTCCTAACTATTTTGTACGCGTGAGACCATTTTCTTATGGGTTTTCGTATTCTGATCAGTAGAATTAGGATACCAAAAAATAGAAATTCATTCACTCGCTGGAATCTGCCACTAATGGGACTTCAGTGGCAGATTCCAGTGCTTACAATACAAATTCTGGCACAAATTAAAAATTTCAGTTGTGGGTGAGAGTTCACAATTTGAGTGAGTTTTGGCATTCTGCAAAATGGCTAAGTTGGAGAGAGACATATTGTGAACAGAGTCTTGTATCAAAATAAATTTCTTCAGAATTAAACAGTGCATCTCCAACGATCCCTTTAATAGCCCAAGAGCCAGACACTTGCCACCGGTCTGGAAAGCCATCAGTTTGTAGCTACATAGCTTAATGTCTAATGTGGGCCACAGAAGTGGTGGATAACCAAAGCAGTATTCCCAAATATCAAAATACCAGGGAAGTCACTCAGTAAAGATCACTCCATATTGCATACAGTTTACCGTATTGTCCACGTTATAACTGAAGGGCAATTGAAAGAAAACCATAGCAATTGTTGAGGTCTGATTTGAAATGCCCTTTTCCAGCCATGCTTTAAACAGATTTCAACACTTTAGCGGACATTTTTCTCGAGCACTGATGATACTGATTGTCCTAATTAAAACGCACCTCTTGTTAAATCCAGAAACATTACCTGCTCCACCTGATCATCTGAGAGGCAATGCAGTAAATTAACAAAGTCTTCTGAACTACTGTGTTGCAGATCTATCCTCCTATTAATGTGCTGCCTTCTCTGTCTCGATTAATGAAGTCTGCCATAGGAGAGGGCATGACTCGTAAAGATCATGCCGAAGTATCCAATCAGCTGGTAAGATTTACAAATTCTCTATTGGCCTCCTTGAAAGTTTGACAAAATCTAACACTAAATACAGTGGGGCCTTGTTATGATGTGTTTGGATGCATAAAGCTTGATAGAGAGGGGCAATAACTGGTTTCACTGCAAATCCACGCAACCATCTGTTTCCGCCAAATTTGCTTCCTGTTTGCTCCGCATGTGCAAAGCAGGATGTGATAGTGGCGACCTAATGACCTGGGAGTCAGCTATTTTACCTGAAGAGAAAATTCTGGGGCTGGCTGAGCCCATTTCTATTCAACAAGTGAGACTATAGCAGCATTCTCTCTATAATAATAATTATTATAATCCTTGCATTTGATATAGCGCCTTAACACATCTACGAGATGTCTCAAAGCGCTTCACAGAATAACAGTAATAAACCTTTCATTTGATATAGCGCCTTATCAAGTCTTTCAGATGTCTCAAAGCGCTTCACCGAATATACTATAAAATGAATTGACTGTATATTTTGTGGGCAAAACTCAGCAGCCAATTGCGCACAGCAGCGTCCCTGCTAGGTAAACAGAGGGGTGTGGAGTAAGGAAACTTGCTCAACATTTCACCCTGCCAGGAATCGAACCCAAGTCTCTTGCTTGAAAGATGAGTGTTCTTACCACTGAGCTACAGGAGTCCATTGACAATGTACTGGAAAGTGAATTGACCATTAGTCCAATAAATTACAGGACTAATGTTTCACTGCTCGGGACTTAGAATTGGGAACCAGAATGTTTAGTGAAAATCTCTCCTCTTCATGCTCTAAGACTCTTAAGTCAAATAGGTTCAACCAGTCAGGACCAAGTTCTCAGCGTGTGTGAGGTGACCAGCACAACTGCTTGTAATTTGAGGTTTTGTATATGAAAGTGAAATGTGTGAACGATTGTGAGCAAAATCAAATAACATGAGAACTTTTATATAAAGTGTTTTATAAGTGCTTTTGTTTGTAAATTCAACTGAGTTACATATTACTGAGTGATTGCTGGAATTTTCTGTATCCACAGTATGCTTGTTATGCCATTGGCAAAGATGTCCAAGCAATGAAAGCTGTAGTTGGTGAAGAAGCTCTCACAGCGGATGACCTTCTGTACTTAGAATTTCTGCAGAAGTTTGAGAGGAATTTTATTGCACAGGGTATGTAAAATAACTCTACAAACCTGAATGAGTTTCTCATGTGGAGAGATTAATTTGCTTTTCAATGTTACGAGATCTTATACGGTCTTTATAGCTGTTTTCAATTAAATGTTGATTTTAGTTGCACATTGCTTAACTGTTTAACACACATTTTTTAAAAAAGCTATGAAGAACAAATTCGGATGAGCAAAAGATTGATGTTGATGATCTGCTTTGTTCTATTTAGGTCCATATGATAATCGAACCATTTTTGAAACCTTGGATATTGGATGGCAGTTGCTCCGAATTTTCCCCAAGGAGCTGTTGAAACGCATTACTCAAAGTACGGTGGCAGAGTTTTACCCAAGAGATTCTGCTGCCAAGCATCAATAAAGTTTCCAATTCACTTGAGAGTTATTTCCCCACTCCCCAAACTTCATAGAAGTAGGTTCTTTCAGTGGAGCATTCTGTGCACACTCCAGCAGATGTTAGCCCATGTCTGCATTTTTATTGTAAGAATTTGAAGATGAAAGTATTATAATGAAATAAGTGTGTGGAATCCACAAATCCCAACTGCTCCCGAAATGAAAGCCTAATCTGTTGGTACTGAAAGCATATTACAACTTGCAGAAATATGTTTACCGTGGTAGTTGATGGGAAGTTAATTTGTTTACATTCTCTTTCCTCGTGTGTTTGTAAAACATAATTAAATTAATGAATAATGCAGATTGGTATCCATTGAAGATGAAACCAATCCCTTCAACTGATCCTAAAGTGTATCATGCAACTTAATCTCAATCTGATGTCCCAAACAGAGGCAGCCTGGCTGGCTATTAAGGGATTTATTGTAACTATTTACATACTGTCAACCCAACACAATTTGACTTTATGGAAATTCTGTATAACTTAGGATATTTTTGTATATGGAAAATGTGGTCAATTTTGTGTTGAGTTGCTACTTTGGTATTTTATCAGCAATATAGGAAGAAATCAAGCACTTGATGTTTATATAATTAGAGCTCATCTCAACTATGGAACATACTTATTGAATTTGAGCTCTGCTTACCTACATTTACAACGTGCATATTCTAGTCGTGTTTTTCGGGTTATGGCTGTAATTCTGTTGTTAATTGTAATTTATATCAAATAATTTAAATTAAATCAAAGTTAGTGATTAACTGGATTTGCTGATTATGCCAGAATATCCTAAATACATAGCAGATTGATCTGTTCTATTCAATTACAATTAAAAATAGGAAACCAAGAGAAAATTACTTTCTATAACAAACTAATTGATTATTTTCCTGCATTTTATTTCTGTGCTGGATGAAAAATCAGATTAAAATTGATATTGATCTGTTACGTTTGGTAACGCATTCTACTTGTGTTCCTTTAAAATGAATTACAATTTTAAGTACATATATAATTTAAAAAATTCTACATTTACATTCCTCATACTCTTTGCCTTTGTTGTCTAAAAACACTCTTTTAAACCATTGATCCTCATCTTTAAAAGCTGACTTTCATTAAAAAATGTTGAACTGACTTGTTCGGTTACAATTTCATTGGACTTGTGTGTGTTGTGCTCTTGTAGTGGTCGTGTGAGCAACTTAAATTACAATACAACTAATGTTTGGACTTCATTAAAGGCTCTACAAGGTTGCAATTTGTTTCCCAACTGATTAGGAAGAGTTACTACGTAAGCATATTGATTATTGTAACATGAGATATTCGTTTTAGTGCAAAAACATTTCAATGTGATATTCTGTTTGTGTGAAGATGATTTGATATTGCCTTTTCCCTACGTCAGTCAAAATGTGAAACTGTTTAATGACACTTTAAATGCTCTACAATATATCTTTGTTCTGTGGACCTGTCTGCATTTAAGCTTTATGTATATTACCGTATACTAATTGCAATTTCTTCAGCTTGTGACTGGATGTAGTTCCAAAATTAAGTGAATTGATCAGCCTTGTGTACAATATTCAGCTTTCCCTAATTGTCTGTGGTTTTTAAAAAGTGAATTATGTTTGAAATATGGAATCCAATGTGCTAGAATATTCCAGAATTACGTAGTCAATCTGCTGTTTTAAGGATCGTGTACCTTATTGGCAAGGATTGTATCAAATCTAATGATTATTATTATTTCATTGATGTGCTACATAGATTTATCAAGAGCACGCTGACTTTGTGATTTGTGTTTATTGTATGACGAAAACGCAATAAAGAAATTGATGCCATATAACATTGTCAGGAATAATATTACAACTGTAAGTGACAAATCCAGAATTTACTTTGCAAGACATGAGAGTTTGATGTACAGGGATTCCTTGAGAATACAGCCCTGGAAACCTAGCGAGAATTCCTCTGCTAACCAGAATTTTTAAACAGTTCCAAACGTAGATTGTATCAGAACAAGTTCCTCCAGGTGACATATTTCCGTGTTTGAGTTCTGTAATTTCATTTCAGATTACTGCACACAGGACAACCCCATTATAACACACCTCACTGGAGCTCAAGTCTGCTCATGAGAGTGTCCTCTGGACCTGTAGTCACTGAAATCAGGGTCCGAAACACTGATTGTCCAGTGCGGACGTGAAAAACGCTATACAAAATGTAATGTTGTTGTTGAAAGAGCAGTACACCTTCGGCTTCATCTACAATTGCTCTTGAAAGGCTGATTGACCAGTTCTCCCTGAACTCACACTGTCCTTCCACCTGCTCACAACAACAAAAACAACAAAATTACATTTGTAAAGCGCTTTCCACGTTGGGAGGACATCCCAAGGCGCTGGGCAGTCAGAGTTTTGAACCCGAGCTGGGGGTCGGGATTGGGGAGGGTGGAGGGCAGGGGAGGAAGCAGGGTGATTGAAAGCACGGTTGAAGAGGAGAGTCTTGAGATGGGTCTTGAAGGAGGCTATAGGAGGGGGCAAGGCGGAGGGACTGCTGGATGGAGTTCCAGAGGGTGGCAGAATGGCAGAAGGCCTGCCTGTCAATGATAGAGTGGGCGAGGTGGGGGATGTGAAGCAAGCTGGAGCCCACTGAGCGGAGCGAGCGGACAGGATGGTAGGGGGTTAGGAGGTCGGCGAGATAGGGGGGAGCAAGACCGTGGAGGGCTTTGAAGATGAGGACCAGGATCTTGAACTGTATCCTCTGTGTGATGGAAAGCCAGTGGAGTCGGGCGAGGACGGGGTTGATAGGGTCGCGGAGCCTGGTGCGAGAGAGGACATGAGCTGCAGAGTTCTGGATGATCTGCAGCCTGTGGAGGGAGGAGTTGGGGAGGCCGACAAGCAATGAGTTTATGTAGTCAGGACTCAAATGTAATGACCACTAATAACATTTTGAATATCTGTGATCCGGGCTCCCTCTGCCTCCTTGTTCTCCTCAACCTCTCTGCTGCCTTCGACACTTGTCGACCACTCCATCCTCATAAACTGCCTCTCTGCTTTACTTAATCTTCACGGACCTGCCCTTGCCTGGTTCGATTCCTATCTCTCTCACCGTCTCCACTTTGTTGCCTCCGGTTTCTCCTCCAGCCCCCGCTCTGTCACATCTGGCATCCCCCTGGGCTCTGTCCTTGGCTCTCTCTAATATCTACATGCTCCCCCTTGGTGACATCATCCGCAGACATGACCCCATGTATCTTTCTGCCTCCACCCTCAACTCCAGGACCACTGCTGCATCAAGTCCTGGATCAGGGCAAATTTCCTACAGTTGAATGTGAACAAGACTGAAGCGCTCCTGATTGGCTCGCGCCAGCGCCTCAACACCTCAGGCTCTGGCAGCATCAACCTCCGTGGCTGCACATTACAACTCGCCAGCCAGTCAGAAACTTAGGGGTCTTGGTCGACTCTCAACTGTCTTTTCTCACCCACATTCAAGCCATGACCCGCTCTGCCTTCCCTCACTTCCGTAACATCGCCCAACTCCGCCACTACCTCATCCCTCAGGCCGCTGATACTCTTGTTCATGCCTTCATCACCTCCAGGCTCGACTATGCAAACGCCCTACTTGTCCGCCTTCCCAACTCCTCCCTCCACAGGCTGCAGATAATCCAGATCTCTGCAGCCCGTGTCCTCTCCCGCACCAAACTACATGACCCCATCTCCCCCACTCTCGCCTGACTCCACTGGCTCTCTATCCTTCAGAGGATCCAGTTCAAGATCCTGGTCCTCACCTATAAAGCCCTCCATGGCCTCGCCCCACCCTACCTCTGTGACCTCCTAACCCCCTACCAACCCCCGTTCCCTCCGCTCAGCCGGCTCTGGCCTCTCCCCGACCCACCCGCCCTCCCCCCCAGCTCGGATCTGAAATGCTGTACACTGTCCAGCACTTTGGGACATACTCCCGACGTGAAAGGCGCTATACAAATGTAATCTTGTTGTTGTTGTTGGGAGAGGGTGGGGGAATGATTTGCTCTCCTCTGTGGGAACGGAGACTGCAGACAGTGAACATCCTGTGTGTGACACATCTCCTTTACCCATTTCATGACGAAGCCTATAATCACTGTTTGTTGGGACGCTGCTGTGTGCAATTGGCTGTCATATTCCGCCCACAAAATACACAGTCGATTCACTGTACAGTAATTCTCTGAAGCGCTTTGAGATGTATCAAAGACTCAGTGGGGTGATCCCTTCAAATGTAATAAGGCGCTGTATCAAATGGGTGGATTATTATTATGTGTGCAGGAAGCTGGTAAAGTCAGCAATGACCTAGAGGTGTGCTCATGAGATGTAATGTTTTGAGATGTGCCTTGAACGAGGGGAGGCAGGGACTGGACGTCGGGAGGACATCCCAGGATCTAGCGACCAGCTAAACCATTTCTTTGACAATGGGAGGAATCATTGGCCAAAACAACTTTCTTGCTTTTGAAATGGTATCATTGGATCATTAACTTGAACTATCAGATTCACCCAATAAATATCTCATCTTAGAACAGTCCCATAGTGCTGTGTTGCAATGTCAATCTTATGGAGGAGCTCAGGTTCTAGTGAAGGGTCCGAACACGGAAACAGAAGTAAGCCATTCAGCCTCTCGAGCCTGTTCCACCATTTTATAAGATCATGGCTGATCTGTAACTCAAGTTCAATTACCCGCCCTCATCCCATATCCCTTGATACCCTGACCTAACAAATATTTATCCACCTCAGTCTTGAAGATGTGAATGGATCAGCATCCACAGCCTTTTGGGGGAGAGAGTTCCAGATTTCCTTTGGGTGAAAAACTGCCTCCTGATTTCACTGCTAAAACCTACAACCTTCTGACCCAGAGATGAGAGTGCTACCAACTAAGCCAAACCCACTTACCAAACTATTTAGCATGAACTTGACTTCATAAAGCATATATGCATTTCACAGTGAATGTTCTGAGGGCCCCATATTGTGTCAAGTTGTTCTTGTTTAATAATAACAATAACAACAAAATGACATTTATAGGGCGCCGTTCACGTCGGGAGGACGTCCCAAAACAGTGGAACATCTTCATGACGTCTCAAAGCACTTTGCAGAATATATTGTAAAGTGTAGTGATGGTTTATTTTGTGGGCGAAATGCGGCAGCCAATTGCGCACAGCAACGTCCCACAAACAGTCGTGGATTGTGTGACCAAATTTTTATTATTTTTTTATTTATTTTTCTTTGAATGGATCACCCCACTGAGTGCATTTATTTCCCAGAATTAGTGAAGCTGCGTACAATTGTGTATAAACTAATCAAGTCCAGTCTAGAATAATTATAATAAGAAGAAAGTCCATATGGAGTTAGAAAAATGTTGAACAACACAAAACGTAATCTGCAGTGTTAGTAACTGAACAATACCAATGGCAATGCCTTACCTGTTGTCATCAAACAAAGTTCATTTCCCTTTTTTATCCAATTAATGGTTACATTCTGTACACCATTTGTAACGATAATCAAATAGTGGATCTAAGGACTACGAGCAGTCTTCCTCAAGTCTTACCTGTTGGTAAAAGGAAACAAAGAAGGTGACCTTTTTGGAATAGCGTAGTATCGCATTAAGATTTTTGATTGTACATTATTTTTGTGTATGAATCAATTACTGTTGCCATAGAGTTTTAAAAAGGAAGTTCCTGGAAATTTTAAGAGGACTTGGGGAATGCCTTGGGGAGTTCGACAACGACAATTTGCATTTATACAACAAAACAACAACAGTTACATTTATAGAGCGCCTTTCACGTCGGGAGGACGTCCCAAAGCGCTGAACAGTCAGATGTCAGGGCCCGAGCGTGGGATAGGGGTGGTGTAGGGGTGAGAGAAGGCAGAGAGGCGGGAGGGAGACTGAAGGCACGGTCGAAGAGAAGGGTCTTGAGACCGGCCTTGAAGGAGGCAAGGGAGGAAGCGAGGCGAAGGGACCGTGGGATGGAGTTCCAGAGTGTGGGGGCAGAGAGGCTGAAAGCCCGGCCACCGATGGTAGGGTGGGTCAGGCGGGAGACATGGAGCAGGTTGCAGCCTGCTGAATGGAGGGAGCGGGCAGGTTGGTAGGGAGTCAGCAGGTCAGAGAGGTAGGAGGGGGCAAGGCCATGGTAGCGTCTCGGAGTGCTCTGTAGCTAAATCGTAAATATCTAGTGCAATTGGCTGCCATGTTTCGCCCACAAAAATATACAGTGAGTTCACTTTACGGTGTGAGGCACTTTGGGACATCTCAAAGCCGTGATGAGGCGCTGTATCAAATGCAAGGATTGATATTACTATTATGTGGTTGAACACGGCCAAATAAAAACGAATGTAGCAACACCTTTCAAGCTATTCTGGCTTAAATCTACAATGAGACCCCTCTACATAATGGACTATTATGTTTCCCAACGTTATATGAGCAGGACTAATAACCGAATGGAAGGTCATTTGTTCCTGGGAAGAGCTACCAGATAGTTCAGTCCTACTCTGCACTCCATTGGTAACTCTTCTGCACTTAAACTATGCCCTCTCTCCCATACTTCCTCTATCATAAATGTCGAATGCAAGAGTCAAATCGAAGGTCAGTGCAGTGCTGAGGTTTAAAATCTGCTGAAATTTGCCTTTGGTGTTTCTTTGATGCTCACAACATAATACAGACAAAAGTGACTCTCTCTCTCTCCCTCCCCTGCCTCCAACCATAAATCCCTCAATCTCTTGAGTAAAGGAGCACAATTTAAATGGAAAGCTCTCCCTAGCCTGTATTTATAGGAGGGAGGGGGGAATTGTGGTGACTTTGAGGCATGTTACTGTAGATTTGACCACACCATCATCAATGGGTGAAGTGCTACACTATCAGCTAACTTGTGTGTGTGTGTGCTTTTATTGCCTTGTAATAAAACAATAGGCTTCTTTTTTTATTTAGCCTTATCTGACTTCCTCATTTGTTCTTGGACCTGAAGTTTCACGATGCAAGCTGTACCTGCTGCGAGAAGAGTGAGTGGGTGAGAGTTAAGTGAGTTCCAGTTAAGTTAGTGACTTGCTTTAACTTTACTGTTAGAACAGCCACTGCGCGCAGAGAGAGAGAGAGAGAGACACACACAGAGAGACAGACAGAGTGAGTGAGTGACTGACTGACTGGGTGCTAACAGGTGAATTCCTTCTCGGCCCGATCCACAAGAAACCGACTGAAATGGACCCTCTGGAGGAAGCAAAACATATCAAAAACATCGCCGTGTTGTCAAAGGAAGGTACGTGCAGACTTTGGAGTCACAAACTGCTGAGTTCAGAAAGTTAATCACTCAACAGTTTCTAAAGTGTCCCATCTAATGGGCTAAAGATTTTACATTTACCTGCCTTTCCCCTCCCAACCACCCCTTAGCTCTGATCTCTGGCAGGGTGTGTATATATATATATATAGATATATCTATATACTATAAAACCTGGGCTTCTCTTGAAGTACTTTGCAAAGTTCTCTTTAAAGTTAATAATTGCCAGATTGTGGCTTTAGTGGCAACTGGACAACGCAGAGTCTGTTTCCTCTAAAAAGTTGGATTTCTTTAAGAAAAATTCGCCATGCATCGCACTCTTATTAAGCTTAAACGTTTTAAAAACTCTCTCCCTCTCACTCTCCCTGTCTGTAATAATTTTGTGTGTTGAATTAAAATACTTTAAGAAACTATTAAGACATGGTCCACTTCAAAGTCAACGCTGATCAGATCAAAGGGGATTTGGTTGTATTCTTTGCTTTGACTTGATTACATGTTCGATTTCTTCATGCTATAAATTATATTTATAATTAAGAATTCAACTCTGTTTACCGAGCTGTAAGTAGGAACCTGGTTGTTAGTTGATTGAAGGATGACTTTTCGAGGGTAATAATCCCTTAAAAAAATTAAAATAAAAAAAGTGGTCACTCAATCCACGACTGTTTGTGGGCCACTGCTGCGTGCAATTGACTGGCGTGTTTCACCCACAAAATATACAGTTAATTCACTTTACAATATATTCTGTCAAATGCCAATATTATTATTATTATATTTTAGTTGTAAGAATTTGGGGAGTGTATAGGATTCATTGTGTGGGACCCAAGCTGGGTTCAATAAAATATCTCCCCAAACTTCATTCTTTGAGTTTGCAAAATTCTCAAGTTCTCAAACAAATTTACAGCAAAAAACGTTTTCACAATGAAAGCTTTTTGGTTAAGATGTGCCAAATTTTGCACAGTCTGAAGTGCAATATATAACGTCAATCTAGACCCCAATTGACTTGAAGATACCTATGTGAAAAAAAATGTTTGGCATGGTCTCGAACAGTATTTAATGGGTCCAAGTCTATGAAACACACGATATGATATGGTACAATGTTGATAAGGATTAATGCTGTTGTTGATAGGTTGTAAGGATGGTTAATGAGGGAAATGGACTCTGCCTTTAGTGCAGTAGAATTAAAATGTTTGAGGCTTAGGGTGTGTTACATTTTGCCTGTAGGTGTACCTGATGTTAACCGTGTTTAATGCCAGTGAAACTGGAGGATATGCACTAATCTACAGGAACAATGAAAAGTATATAATTTCCTAATTTCTCTCAATTTTAACGATTGTATTTTTTTAAATTTCCTTTGACGTGCCCCCCCCCACCAAAAAAGAAGAACCCAGGATATGTTTTGAATTGAAATCTAATTTTAGAAAGTTCAACATTTTTACTGGACAAATGTATCTGCTATAAAGGAGGCAGGTTGACGTATTTCTGCATTTGACAGTCAAGTTAAAGTGGATGACATGGAACGGATAGGACAGGGGAACGTGAAGCAGTCCAGTGTTTGATGAGCGGACATAGATGAGACAATAGGGTTGTCGGAGGTTGCATTTTGGGTGAGATGGGGGTGCAAGGCCAAGGAGGAATTTCAATGAGTAGATGTAAAAGTTCTGAGACCTTTCGACTGTTAACATTTCATGTCTGTGCATAATCGCGCATTGGATGTTAGAAGCATAGAAATAACAGAACATACAGCACAGATGGAGGGCATCCAGCCCATCAAGTCTGCCCTGGCTCACCTTGTTATCAAGGTACCTGACGTCTTAAGCTATTCTCTGGAACTCCATCCCACAGTCCCTACTCAGCCCCTCCCTTGCCTCCTCCAAGACCCGTTTCAAGACCCTCCTCTTCGACCGTGCCTTCGGTCACCCTCCTACCCCTCCCCTCCCCACCTTCCACCTCTCCTGATCCCAACCAGCAGCTCGGGTGTGGATCCCTGACTGTCCAGCGCCTTGGGGCATCCTCCTGATGTGAAAGGCGCTGTACGAATGTAATTTGTTGTTGTAGTCCCCTTGCATGAATTACAGCGTTACAATAGCAGAAGCGTGGCCTGATTCACTCTGCTTTACACACTGTGTGATGAGACTCAGTAATAATCATGAAAATGTCCTTTATTTCCGATTGTTTCAGCAACTATCGAATATGAGGAACTCATCAAGGAAAATGAGCAGGTGAAGAATGAGGTAAGTGTTCGTCAGTGATTTAAATGAGATAATTGAGTCCTGTAGCTCTGTGGTTAGAGCACTCGCTTTGCAAGCGAGAGACCTGAGTTCAATTCCAGGCAGGTCAGGGCGAAACCTTGGGCAAGTTTCCTTACTCCACACAGAGCCTAATAATAATCCCTCCAAAACCAAAAACAATAATAAATTGGTCATTTTCAATCTACGACTGTTTGTGGGACATTGCGGTGCGCAATTGGCTGCCGCGTTCGCCCACAAATATACAGTCAATTCACTTTACAGTGTGTTCTGTGAAGCGCTTTGGGACGTCCTCCCGACGTGAAAAGCGCTATATCAAATGCAAGGATTATTATTATTATAATTGTATTGTACACAGAGGATTTGAATATTGCATTTTTTTAAATCTCGCATACAGTTTTCTATGGATAAAACGTGTGTAAGATTTTTAAAGTTGGTTGATGTGACGTAACCTGAAAAAATAATCGTCTCTTAAAAAATGGGCAAAAATATTATTTATTATTACCATAAACTACCCGCTGCATTTAAAATTCTGACTCCTAACTTTATCTCTTGTTTCATAAGCTCGGGGTGAAAATCCACACGGTCTTAGTCTAGGTGCCCATTCTCGCCCTAAACTTTAAGATTGTGTAGAATTGTGAACAAATCTTAAATCCCTTATTTTTTTGAAGACAGGTTAGCAAGGAGAGGTGGTTGAGGTTAGGATGCTGGACCCATTTGAAAAAAACAGCTTGATGCTTCAATGGTGCTTGTGTTTTGCCCACAAAAATATACAATCCATTTCTACAGTATATTCTGCGGAAGCAGTTTGGGACGTCTCAAAGATGTGATAAGGCACTATGTCAAATGCAAGGATTATTATTATTATTATTATAAAGGGAGGATGGCTATTCTGGAAGGAGGAGATCAAATGGGATAAAGTGCCTCCTCTTGTGAAGAACAAATAGTTTTACAGGGTATGTTGAGCCGAATATTTATTGTTATCGTACCCGAAAGCATACCTTAGTGTAGGCTATACTGTAACCATTTAGTTTGCACAAAGCTACACATTGATGTGCATACATTGGCTACCACATTCACCCTTAAGTACATAGTCACTACACTTCACAGTTAAAACCTTGAGGCACCCCTACGATGAGATCAGGCACTATATCAAATTCAAGCTTTATTAGCAGTAGTATTACTACCAATAATTGATGGTAAGCAATTAAGCTGTATTTTCATGGTAAAATACTTGTTATTTAATATACGTATTAAAAATGCACTTAATTTCATAAATAATGTGAATGATAATAATAATCCTTGCATGTGATATAGCACCTTATATAGTGTTGTCAAGTCTTTGAAAAGGGAATTATTTTCTATTCGGGCAAGCCATTTCCTATGGCAAACATAGCTACTCAGTTAACAAGGCTTCTCTTGCTTAAATTGCACCAAAATCGAGATAGACGTTGAAATTGTGTTGTGGATTTTCATTTTGCCGGCGTTTAAATAGAATGTTTCATCAGCGTCATCGAGCGGCAAACATTGCAGTTCATCATCTTCGTGATTGTTTGCAATTATCCTTCGCTGCTGTTGCCATGAAAAAAGAATCGACAACACGTTTGTCAAATATATCAATCTTTTCGGAAAGCTATCTGCAAACAGATTACCTCTCAGCTGTATTGCTACCAAGGTTTTTTTTCTCTTCACACTTTGTCTTTTCTGTATAAACATCCTTGAAAAAAAAATCACTGTTACCATTTTTTGTTATCTTCTGGAGTTCTTACCCAAATACTTTGAATTTGAGGGACAACCTTTGTGAAAATTACGCTCACACTGAAATGCTTCGCCCTTTTGAATTTGCTTTCTCTGATCCCGAAGTGAAATCTTAATATTGCACTTTTCTTTCCATCTTTTTAAATAATTTTAAATGAAGGGATGGTAATTTGGCTGCAAGCTTTCAAACAGAAGGCAGCCGTGAGGATTGTCTTAGCATCGCTAAACACTGAGATTGTTAAAATAAATCACTTTGTTCTGAATAGTTCATATGAAGAGATCAAGGTTTTGTAAGAATACGCTTTGCTAAATTTCTTTTTGTTGGAGATCTCAGAGGCTTGTTCAATTTCTCTTTCAGTACCGTTGTGGACCGCAAAGCTTCTCCTTTAGATTGTTCTATATAAAACAATTCGGTTTTGATATACGCGATTTGTTCTCTGCCCTACACATAATCATTAAAGAAGGAAACATTCATTTAGTTTGCACACTGTTGGATTATTTTATTTGATCTAGTTGATTTACAGTTTGCAATACAAACGATTCCCATTAATGCTCTTCTGCCTCATTAAAGGTGTATTTAACATGTAAAAGAATAATAATAATAATAATCCTTGCATTTGATATAGCGCTTTTCACGTCAGGAAGACGTCCGAAAGTGCTTCACAGAACACACTGTAAAGTGAATTGACTGTATATTTGTGGGCGAACGCGCACAGCAATGTCCCACAAACAGTCGTGGATTGAAAATGACCAATTTATTATTGTTTTCGGTTTTGGAGGGATTATTATTAGGCTCTGTGTGGAGTAAGGAAACTTGCCCAAGGTTTCGCCCTCTGCCTGGAATTGAACTCAGGTCTCTCGCTTGCAAAGCGAGTGCTCTAACCACTGAGCTACAGGACTCCACAAAATGAAATAAGAAATGAATAACTTGAATTTATGCAGTGCCTTACATTGTGATATCTCAACTGTAGTTCGTGATTCTTTGTAGGTAAATGCGGCAGCTATTTCTTTGCTCAACACCATCTTGCAGACGTCATGAGGCTTATTTTCCGGAGGATTCTTCATAATTCTCTTTGCAAACGGTTTCATGGGATCTTAAACATTCACCTGAAGAACAGACAGATGGGATCTTACTTGAACATACAATTTAGCTTTTCACTGATACTTTTAGAAACTCCAGAGGACTCCATTCTTTAGATAATTATTTGTGGAGGAAAAGTTTGCAGGACTTTGGGGAGAGAGTGATGGAGTGGGATTGATTTGAATAGCTTGTTTAAAAGAGTCAGCACAGATATGATGGGCCAAAAGGCCTCCTTTTGGGCAGTATAATTCTAGTATTCTGTGATTCTATGATTTACACCGTCATCAATCATCGTAATATTAAATCATAAATCTGGTCAAAAATACTGCTGAAGTGAATTTTCAACATAAGTGAAATTTACTGTGGTTTGAAAATTAATTTTTTCGTTGATCTAGTATCTTCATTGGGGAAATTTTAACAATTTCATACCACGGTCAACTGATGACCTTCTCCCAGTCTAGTGAAGGAGACAGTCCGTGTCCATCCTTTGGATGAGATGTTAAACCGAGGCTCGGTCTGCTTGTTCAAGTGGACGTTAAAGATCCTGTGGCACTATTCGAAAAGGGAAGGGAGTTTTTCTCTCCCAGTGTCCTGGCCAAGAAATCCCCCAAATAAATTTGGTCTTTCACTCCAGGGCAGTTGTGGGACACTGCTGTATGCAAATTAGCTTCCCCATTCTCCCGCAAAATACACAGTCAATCCACTTTACAGTATACCCTGAGATGTTTGAGATGTTTTGAGATGTCTCGATGATGTCAAATGCAAGGATTATTATATATTATTATAGTCAATATTATCTTCACGTAACACTGTTCACTTTTGTATTGGTGGGAGAGCCTTCAGCCACTCTGCCCCCAACCTTTGGAATTCCATCTCCCAACCACTCCGCCTCGTCCCCTCCTTAGCCTCCTTCAAGTCCCGCCTCAAGAGCCTCTTCTTCGACCATGCCATCGGCCACCCCCCTTCCCCTCCCCTCCCTTCTCCCCCCCTGACCCCAGCTCGGGTCTGAAATGTTGTACACTGTCCAGCGCCTTGGGACGTCCTCCCGACGTGAAAGGCGCTATACAAATGTAATCTTGTTGTTGTTAATGTTCGTAATTCTGATGGGCGTTGTCTTTTCTTTTTTTGAACAGAACGCAAGATTGCTTCAAGACAAACATGAAGCTTTACAGAAAGTCAAAGAGTTTCACAGAGGTCAGTTGATATCACAAGATCACAAGGTTGGTTTAGATGAAGAAGGTCCTTTGGCTCATTTGACCTCATTCTTCTAGAATACTCATTCAACTCATGTCAGCATGAGGTTGTTATTTAAACGACTCCAGTGCTTGAGCTCTGCATGCAAAAGTTACTTATTCTCATCCCTTTGAGTGCTGATTTTTTGTTTAGCTTTTTTTTGTCAAGCCTCGGCTCTTGCCTACCTGCGCCTAATACGTTCGGGAATTAGTTAAGCACTAATTATTAATTAATTAATTAATTAATCTCCAGGAAGAGAGTGCATATTGCTTTCCAATTAATATCTCTGGAATTTCCACGTGTAGGTGGGATGCATATAACTCTGTTTGGTTTGGATACTCTTAAGCATGGTGATGGGTTTCCGCATGAGTCAGACACCCGGCTGACAAAAAAAAAACCCTGATTTGTTTTGTGTAGAACAGTGGTGTAGAATACCCTGGAAAGACGTGAGAAAATGGAGCTGTTTCACCAAAGCCAAGATAGTTACATTTTGACCTGATCGAGGTCTTCGAGATTATGAAGGGTTGCAACAGGGTGAACAACAATAAGATTATTTCCATTGGTCAGAGTCAGTGGCGAGAGGGGACAACTACTATAAGATAACTTAACGGAATTAAAAGGGGAGGTTAGAAAAATGGATGTCGAGGCAAGGTCAGCCAGTTCAATTTAGAAACTAGTTTACTGAATAATAATAGTATGAAAGGGTTTGAGGAGTGAGTATGAGAGTGGGATTACATTAGGAGGCTCGTGTGATGAGAAATGCTAGCGCAGACAGACCTAATGAGCCAAGTGGTCTGTTTCTGTACTGTCACGTTTTAGGATTCTGTAGAGGGATTCATTTTGCTGCATATTCCTCTATTTGCAAGATGCAGATTCAGTCACCACTAACAAGCAGGACTATTGTTGTATGACTCCTCTCGCTATATACTCCGAAGTCATTACTGTATTTACCTTCCCGTTGCTATGGTACACTGCTGGTGGAAAATAGCAAATGACTAGAGATAGGAAAGAGAAACATTGTGCTGTTGCTTGCAAACTGACAAATTATTTTGTTTCCAGTTTATCGAAGCTGCAAAATAACTTCACTTTGGCTGAACCACCACCAGAAATGTTTTTCCATTGAGGGGGGGGGGGGTCTGTAAAGTGGAAGTTGCTCTCCTATTTGTGATGACCAGACTTGGTTTAACAAGACTCTCGTTGACTAATGGCTTAATGGTATCGGCAGAGTCACCTTCTCTTTAGCTCTGGAACTCCCTGCTTGAACCCCTCCCTCTGCCTCGCCCCCACTTTTTCTGACTTCAGATCACACCTCGAGACTTTCCTCTTCTACTGCACCTACTACAGCCATCTGTCCTTTCTCCCAGAGTTTCGTCAAACTATGCCATAGTTCAGCACTCCGACACGCTAGGCGCTACACAAATGAAAATCGTTGTTGTTCCTGGTTTCGCACCAGAAAGTGAGAGAGGACAGAGTCCTGCAAATTTGGCTATCCATTAAAGATAACTTGTTCCCTAGTTGAAAAAAACACAAAGCATCTGGAAATCTACAACAAAATTACACTTTAATCCTTGCATTTTGATATAGCGCTTTTCACGTCGGGAGGACGTCCCAAAGCGCTTCACAGAACACACTGTAAAGTGAATTGACTGTATATTTGTGGGCGAACGCGGCAGCCAATTGCGCACAGCAATGTCCCACAAACAGTCGTAGATTGAAAATGACCAATTTATTATTGGTTTTGGTTTTGGAGGGATTGTTATTAGGCTCTGTGTGGAGTAAGGAAACTTGCCCAAGGTTTCGCCCTCTGCCTGGAATTGAACTCAGGTCTCTCGCTTGCAAAGCGAGTGCTCTAACCACTGAGCTACAGGACTCCACATGATGCTTTAAGCATCATGTTGTGAGGTGTCAGCCTGGCTCAGCTTGTAGCACTCTCACCTCTGAGTCACAAGGCTGTGGATTCAAGCCCCATATTAGGTTTGTGCCCTCACAGATGACAATCACTGTCTCCCTTGGATAATAAGACCTTAAAGCGAGGTTCCATCTCAGTTGATAACTTGATGGTAAATCTCCCATCATGATTTCTATTCCTGTTTCGATTTTGATTGCCTCTGTTACAAGTAAGTTTTTGAACTGTACTGATTTGGAAATGTGAATAACACGCATCACAAAAACATCTTAAGACTTGAATATAACAAAGCCGTACAATTTACATTCATGTCATCCCTTTCACTTTGGCAGGACGTCTCAAAGTGCTTGTTCGAAGAAGCTCTTGAGCTATTGAAGGTGATGCCTTTGAAAGGAATAAAATCACTTGGTCCCAATGTTCTTTGGGAGTTTGGGAAGAGGAGGCAGTCTGCTCCTTGCTGGGGTGTTCCCATAAGGAAGCTTGAGCTGCATATAGACCTGTATGGTCGCATTCAAACCCACAAAGCACTTGCCATATGCAATGCTCCTGCAGGAACTTGAATTGGCCATTGGCGAGGATGTTACTGAGCCGCATGTCTTTCCAATATTTTATAAATTGAAGCAGTGCAATTAAGCCAGAAGAATACAACCGTGCAAACCTCAGTGGGGCGACGTGGCTTGCTGAAGGGCGTTTTTGTTCAGTCTTCTGCAGAGGGTTATGCGGGGTTAAAGTTGATGTGAGTGGAAATCGGTATTAAAAAGCGACCTTGGTCTGTCATTAACTTGAAATGAAGAACTGCTATTTGGTCAAACTCCAACTCTTATACCTGAGTTGCAGCTATTTTATTAGTTCTAAATTGTCTTGGCTTCTGTTGCGTTTTGATTTGTATTTAGGCATGAACACATATTGTGTGAAATTTCTGTTTACCAAGGGCAGTTTGTATGCGAAGCAGCTGCATTCTATACCCAATTACATGATTTCATAGATCTCTGAAAATTGGTTCTATTCACTGTCAGCAATAGAAAGCCTCAACACAATCATTTCTTTTCAATTGACAGTGGCAAGGTTGATGACAACATGAGCATTGTGTTATAATGATAAGACCACCAAGGCATTTGTACTTTTCATCAAGGCGCTTCACAGAGTAGATACAATTTAATTCACTACACTGTCAGCAATGCTCACATTTGTCTGATACCATTATGCTGCCCGTCTCCACAGTTATAATCACTGTCCTGAGAGAAATGCTGTTAAATGATCTGCAGCAGTCAGAGAAACTCTCAATTAAGCCTGCCACTTTCAATGTGTCAGATTGTCTTATGCACTTGTACAATTTCAGTTCCAATCCTGTTTATTTACAATGCCTACCAGTAATTATACTTAACATGTCATTAACTGAGAAGGGGGCCCTGCCAAGGAGATTGCCAGGAGCTGTGAAGGTTTCAGGGGGGGAGTTACTGGCGCTCAGCATCATCAGAGGCTTTTAGTCTCTGATGGGATGCTGTGGTTGTGATTATAATGCAAGTATCAAGCTCATCATTAGATGCCACTCAAATGTGCCACTTGTAATAACAGTGTTGATTCATGTTTTCTCTGTGACAGCATCTGCTAATTAGTTAAGTGGTTTCAGTTGGCCTGTGTTTGCTACAGTTTATGATTACCTCTGTAAATGTCAAGGTTATGGATGTTTTCCGGTCACTCTTTGCGGCAAAGTTGGAAAAATATACTTGGAATGAGGTGATTTCAAAATACGCTGAGCCAATTGTTAAACTTGGGGCGGTGGTGGAGAGGGTGGTTTGGAAGTGAATTGATTGCGGATTCTTTTTATTCCAGTTTCACAATTGGTGGTCGAGGAAGTTAGCGCTATGCAAAATCACCTGGAGATTGAGAAGAGTTGCCGCGAAAATGCAGAGGTGTTGGCCACAAAGGTACAGTGCCTTCTGTCGTCTAATGCTCTCTATCAAACAGAATCACTTTGAAGGAGAACGTATTCCAACCGCTGGGCACTGATATGTGTGCATGTAGTTATCGCTCCCCTAAAGCCCATAAAATGTTGAAAATTGTCACTCAACTCCCTGAAGCCCTAAATCAGCTTGGAGAAACTTTGCGTTACTTTCAAGGAGCTCAAATGCATTTCTAATATTGATTTGTAATATTGATTTGATGTTCTCTTCACACACAAGTCTGTTTTTTTTTATTCCAGCATTTGGATTGAATTAAATAGCATATAATGCAGTTGCAATTGAACAAGAGGCGACCTTTGTAGAGTAAGGATTGTATTCACTGTATAATTCAAATCAAAGCCGAGACTATTTCATCTGCCAAATTTTTGCCCTTTGTTACAAAATCGTATTGAAAGGAACAATCAGTGATATGTCATCCTGGACTGGAGCCAGCACAGGGAGTTGTACAGCCACTCCCAGCCAGACATTCTCTTCGAAATGCCATTAATACAGGGAGTACATGACTGGACGACCACTGTATCTGTACATCTGACCCTGAACTAGTTCAAAACTAGAACCAAATGCTTGACTTTGCACTTGCCCCCAAATAATTTCAATTTACAATTGTTCCTGCGTGCCAGTTGACACCCCTAGCTGTGAGAATTGGAAAGGGTTACATCAGTTGAGCTTCTGGAGTAAAGGGAGTTTTATGCTTCTGATGTCCCTGCACATGTCTTGCATTGACTCCAACACAACGACCCTCCCTCTGGTGTTGCTGTCACCGTTATCATTGTCGTTAACCAGTGTCTGCTAATCGACCCTGCATGAAGGGTGCTGGTTAGTGGCAAGTTATTGTTGTTGTCATTGACCACCCCAGCCAGTTACCACCAAATAACTGGACGTGCATATGAGATATGAAATTCAACGCCTCCAACAAATGCTTCGCTTCTCTGTACGCTAGGCTATGAACTCTTAAAGTCCCAACGTGGGGCTTGAACCCACAACCTTCTGCCCCAGAAACAAGAGTGGTACCGAATGACCCAAGCTGAAGGGTCATTTAATTATTGCATAGAATCTACAGCACCATGACAGGCATTTGGACCAACTAGACCTTGCTGGTGTTTATACTCTGCATGAGTTTCCTCCCACCACTCGATTCCCTTCTCCCTTGTGAATGAATCGAGTTTCCTTTTAAATGCATTGAGGCTTTCTGCTTCAATCACAGCCTCTGGGAGTGGAGCAGCACATTGTCACCAAGCCCGCTCCTTCCACAGACCATGATAATCATGCACTCTCCCTCATCACCCAGTCTCTGAAAAGGTTTTGAAACGATATTCCTTGAGCCACCACCAATGTAATCCATCCGAAAGTCCATTCTTGCATCTCTACTATTCAGCCTTGCCTGGTTTCCTCCTCAAACAATCATGTGATTTTTTTTAACAGCATTGGAAAGACTATCCTATGCCTTATCTATGTGCTTTGCCATGATGCCATCGTCTGCAAGAATTGGGATCAGTTTTCACATGTGTGTCAATGATTCCCAGCTCTGCCTCTCTGATTCCCTCCTCAATTTCCAGGACTGTTGCCAATCTGCTTGACTGACTGTCAGATATCAAATCCAGGAAGTGTCTTAACTTCCTTTTGGCAAGAAATCCAAATGTTTTTGTTCAATTCCCTGCAAACGCTTTTCCATCTCCAGTATAACAATGTTTATTCGAATCCCATTGAGTTGCTTGTACATTGTCATGATGAAGAGTGGACTGTGCTATATTGCGATGTCTCTTGATACTTGTACCACATGAATTTACAGCAAAAANTATAATTTAGTGGAGGTTTCCAGTCTATTCCTGAGGGCACAAATTCCTGTCTGCTTTGAACTCTGGTGACATTGACTGTGTTGACATGTAGTAGCATTTCTCCCCTTTAAATAACACAGCCTCAATATTGCTACAGGTACATAAAAACAAAGCCTTCCATCGTCTGATCTTTAGTGTTGGATTTCACCATGAGACTGAATGCAACACTAATTACCAAGCACAATAGGGGTATTGCTGTACATGCATCGAATTCAATGATACTCTGTACACCTCTAATGCTTGATTTTGCATTGTAAGATATTGTATTTCATTTCTCCCCACACTGGCATCCTTGATCTTGACCTACAAAAGTCCCCAAAAATCATAGTTTCTAAAAAACAAGACAGACACGGTTGCTTTATTAGAGATTTTGTTCTCAAATGCTGTGCGATTCTAAAGCTGGACAATAAAAAATAACTTTGGCACAATTCCCTAAGACTTAGGAATTTCACAATATAAATGCAGTGCTCAGAATTTTGATCATATATATATGAATTTATTTATATGAATATAATATACATGAACAGACTTGACTTTTACTGAAAATTGAAAGTAAATTGCCTCTTGAAAACATTGATTTTCCTGGTGCTGGCATGAAACAAGAAATATGGAACTCTGACTTATTAACACTGACCTCTGGTCCCAGTCACTGATGAATGAAAAAGAATATAATTTTACATAGTCTTTTTCATCAGATGTGCATTATTTTCAGAGTGTTTTTTTCTCTCTCTGGCATGTTTAGTTGATTGCATATGAATACCCTCTGGCTTCTTCATCAGTAAATGGATTAGAGCAAATGCAAAGCTGAATTTTATCACTAATGTATGCCATTTCTGAGCAATTTCTTCGGCTGTTGCAGAAATCAGGCCATTGGTGACGCTGGTTTGAGGTGTTAGCTGTGTCCTTTCCCAAGGAGTTAACTTAGGTCTTTGATTAGTAATAATATATTAAAGCCTATTAACATGTCTACACAATATAATTATTTTGAATTAATTCAAACTGTGATCACGGAAATTCAAGGGTAGAGGATAGACAATTGCGCTTAATTAGATTTTTTTAGAATTTTATCGCATAAAAAACTAAAATGTCAATGTAGAAAATCACTGTAAATCAGAATAAATTTGCTAATAAGAGAAGTGACTTTCCCTACTCTCCTTCCCCTGGCGATTCAGATTGTACAGATTTTATCATTTGTGTTCAAATATTTAGGCAGCCTTCCCCCTTTCCTGCAGTATCACAATTTATCTCATTTATGAACGGCAAGCGTGTGATTTTTTTTAAGTGAAAGCTTTGTTCTGTTTTCAGTTGAAAAATACTGTGTTAAAGAGGAAATTTCAAATTGTAGCTTTAAACAAAGTGTGAGATTTCCTACTCTACTTTCATTGTGATGATGTTTTGGCTCGTTCATCAATCAACAATAATAAATGAAATAAACAAATAATAATTTGGTCACTCAATCCACGACTGTTGTGGGACACTGCTGTGCGCAATTCGCCCACGAATATACAGCCAATTCACTTTACAGTGTATTCTGTAAAGGGCTTTGAGACGTCTCGAAGATGTGATAAGGCGCTATATCAAATGCAAGAATTATTATTATTACCAAACATTGCTGCGAGTTTGCACGGTAGATCGCGAACCTAGTTTTGAGCGCTTTTCTATCATTTTCTACCCAGAAATCAACTGATTCCCACATCCGACAGTGGATGATATGTGGCGAGCTCTGATGGGAATGTTATTGTGCCGAGCACTTTAATAAGTGCATTAGTTCATTGCTCAGATTTTCCCAAGTGCGCTGAAGCTTGAAGTTCAGCACCAATTGCATTGAGTCATGGAGTCCTGTAGCTCAGTTGTTAGAGAGTTCGCCTCGCAAGCGAGAGGACCTGGGTTCGATTCCCGGCAGGGCGAAATGTTGGGCAAGTTTCCTTACTCCACACACCTCTGTTCAGTTGGCAGTAGGTAGGAACCTGGCTGTTAGTCGATTTGCGGATCGGTTTTCTGTGGTTAATAATCCCTTAAAAAATGGGATTATTACCCACAATTGTTTGTGAGACACTGCCCTGAGCAATTGGCTGCCGCATTTCGCCTATAAAATATACAGTCAATTCACTTTACAGCATATTCTGTGAACCGCTTTAAGCCATCTCGAAGAAGTGTTAAGGCGCTATATCAAATGCAAGGATTATTATTATTATAGTGTTATTATTATTGAGTCTTAATGTAGCCATACAACAAGGAATCGTTTCTTGCAAAGGAAAACCAAAAGCATTTACAGATCACCTCCAAAAAATACACAGTCACTACACTTTATGGTGGAAAGCACTCTGACATCCCCCCGAAGTGAAAAACCCTGAATCTAATAATAAAAATCCTTACATTTGATGTAGCATCAGGAGGACATCTCAAAGCCTATAGATTATGCTGTGAAGTGTGATAACGATAATAATAATCCTTGCATTTGATATAGCACCTTATCACGTCGTTGAAAGCATCTCAAAACTTTTCACAGAATACATTGCAAAGTAGATTAACTGTGTACTTCTCACAGTAGCCAATTGCGCACAGCAGCGTCCCCACAAACAGCCGTGGATTGATTGACCGTGGACTGTTTTAAAAAAAAGTAAGCATTTTTGAACTGACATTCTGTGAGTGTAGCAACTGTGTATTTTTTAGGTGACTGTTCTGATTGTCAGTGTGTCTAGTGAAAATGTGCTCACTCTGTTGGAATTCTCTCTCTCTCTCTATATATATATATATTCAGTTGAACAAAGACAACAAGAATCTGAAAAGGATCAGCGCGATGTACATGGCGCAGCTGGGAAAAGAGGTTGTGCCTTTGGACCTGACTTCGGATGAGGACTCTGATGTGAACACGTCATCGGACAAGGAGTCAAGATGTGTATCTGAGGAATGCCAAAAGCAGATCAGCGGTGAGGCTTTGAGAAGTCAATAGAGTTTAATACAATTATAAACCTGAATCAAGGAACACAAGACGATGTGCTTTGCAATGCGCTTTGGGACATTCGCCTGACGTGAAAGGAGTTTATACAAATTATACAAATGTAATTTGGCGTTATTGTAATGCTCCTAATATAAGTCCTGTGGACTCGCGGTTACCGGAGTGTGGTGCACTCCGACCAATGAGTTGGACTGAGTTTCCTGCGTGTAGACACATGTGGGAAGCTGGCTAGAGCACACGGGAAGCTAGAAGTGACATCAATGTTGACCAATAAACCTGTTAGTCACACCCTCTCTTGCCTCCTTCAAGTCCCGTCAAAATACCTTCTTCTTCGACCGTGCCTTTGGCCGCCCTCCTACCCCACCCCACACTGCCCTCCACCCATCCTGACCCCAACTCCCAGCTTGGGTCCAAAACCCCTGTTTGTCCAACGCACTGGGACCTCTTTCCGTTGTGAAGGGCGCTATATAATGTGTAATTTGCTGCTGTTGTTGTTCTCATAGTCCCATTATGATACTCCGCCACTGTAAAGCACTCTGAGACGCTACCCTGCGTGGAAGGCGCTAAATGAGTGCAAGTTGTGGATGTTCTTGTTGATGCTGGGTCCAACTTTATGGACCCAAGACACAGCTGAGGTTTCCCCGTATACTTCCTTGCAGATGAAAAGCCTAGTTTTTACCCACAGACTTGGTACAACTTTGTATATTTCTGAAACACAGAACTTCGGGACAAGCTGGTGTCCATCCTGGAGGAAAAGAAGGAACTTTCTTTTCAACTAGAAAATTTGAAAAGCCATTGGGAAGACATGAACGAAAAAGTAAGTAACTGAGGTCAAAAAAGTATCCCATCAAACGGCCTTTCGGTCTATCTGGTCTCTTTCTTCCAGAATAATCAACATGCCATCATCCCATCACAGCTGCTTTTTAAACGAGTTCCAGTGTCCTGCCCTCAGCCTCCGCTCCTGGTAGTTGTTAATTACTCTCCGGATAAAAAAAAAGCTTCCTGTTGTTTGTCCTGAAATTGCTCATTGCAACTATAAACGCGTGTCCTCTTGCTTTAACCCTACCTCTGTGATTTCCTAACCCCCTACCAGCCCGCCCGTTCCCCCCGCTCAGCCAGCTCTGGCCTGCTCCACGTCCCCCGACCCACCCGCCCCACCATTGACAGGAGAGCCTTCAGCCACTCTGCCCCCAACCTCTGGAATTCCATCCCCCAGTCACTCCGCCTCGCCCCCTCCTTAGCCTCCTTCAAGTCCCGCCTCAAGACTCTCCTCTTCGACCATGCCATCGGCCACCTCCCTTCCCCTCCCCTCCCTTCCCACCGCCCCACCAACCCCAGCTCGGGTCTGAAATGCTGTACTCTGTCCAGCGCCTTGGGAAGTCCTCCCGACGTGAAAGGCGCTATACACATATAATCTTGTTGTTGTTGGTGTGAAAGAAACAGCTTAACAATAGAAAGAGGGGGACACTGAGCAAGAAGTGTGAGAGATTTAGCTAACGATTGAAAGCACAGTGGAACAGGTGGGGACGGGATTTTTTGGAAGCGGAGAGGAATAGTGAAGTCGTGTGATTATTTTGTTTGTGAGAGAAACAAATGTTTCAGACGAGAGTGTAGAGTGAGAGATGAACGACAAACCAGACCAAGAAGGTGGGAGAGTGCAAGGCTGCAGGAGATTAGTCAGGTCTGGTGGAGTAAAGCCAAGGAAGGTCGTATCGATGTGATATTTTGTGTAATGCAAATTTGATCTCTTTCTTGTTGTTCTCTAGCTACAAGAGGAAAAAGAGAGAAATACTGCTTTGACTACTAAAGCTGTGGAACAAAATGAAGTTCTGTCCAAATACAATAAAGGTTTTACTTTCCATCTACCTTTCACAAACCTACCCTGCTCAAAAGAACAGTGGCGTCACTGTAATAGTCCCTCTGCTTCGCCCCCTCCCTTGCCTCCTTCAAGACCCCTGTCTCAAGAACCTCCTCTGCGACCGTGCCTTTGGTCACCCTCCTTACCTCTAACCTCCACGCACCTCCACTCCTCCTGATCCCAACCAGCTCGGGCGCGCATCCCTGACTGTCCAGTGCCTTAGGACGTCCTCTTGATGTGAAAGGCGCTGTAAAATGTTATTGTTGTTGTTGTCAGAAGGTTTGAGGCTCAAGGCCCCAGCACCTTGAACTCACACAGTCTAGGCTGACACACTAATACAGAGCTGGGGGAGCGGGGGGGTACTGTTAGAGGTTCCGTGCTTTGGATGGGATATTAAGCTAAGACCCCCTTTGCTAGTTCAGATGGACGTTAAAGATCCCTTGATCCTATTAAAAAAGAGAAAGGAGTTTCTCCCGATGTCATGGCCAACAATCCTTCAGATATAAATTGGCCATTCACTTCATGGCTGTTTGTGGGAACATTGCTGTGTGCAAAATACACAGTCACTACACTTTATAGTTAAACCTGTGAATTGCTTTGAAATGTTCTCCTGACGTGAAAAGCACTATATCAAATGCAAGGATTATTATTATTATTATATTAAGACCATCAGTGAAATATCCGAATAAACCTTTTAACTAAAGTTACAGCACTTGAGCTATTCGCCCAACGTGAATTTGTTGTTGCTTGTAAACACGTTTTACCTGTAGTGTTTTTTTTTTAAAATGTTCCTTTAAAAGAGAAAAGAAACGAAAGACCAGGGCTGAGATCATTATGGAAGTGTATGTCAGTTCATCGTACCTCTGTATGATATCAGAGCGATCTGCATTGGAAAGTGGAAGTGAAAACATTTCTTTTTAGCATAAAATTCTTCGAACACTGTAGGAGAAGTAGCCGATTGTGCCCAAAGCCAGTGAAATTGGAACATTTGAAAACAGATAGAAAGTGCAGAACTGCTCTAATATCAAAGAGAAGTGGCATTTTTTAACAGAGCCCAACTGCAATCAAATTAGCTATGTCAGGACTCTGCAATAATAATAATAATAATAATCTTTGTATTTGATATAGCATTTTATCACGTCTTCGAGACGATGCAAAGTGCTTCACAGAATATACGGTAAAGTGTAGTGATTGTGTATTTTGTGGGCGAAACGTAGTTATAACTTGAGTGGGAATTATCAATAGAAATATGTTTAAATACGTGAGCCTCAGTAAAGAGACTGCAGGTGGTAACTATATAGGAATTAATTACGGATGTTAATAAGCTGTTTCCACTTGTTGGTGAGTTAAAAGAAGTGGGCATAAATGTAAAATAGCCAGTAGCCGATCTGAAATAATATTGACAATAATACTTGCATTTGACATAACGTCTTATCACTTTATTGAGACGTCTCAAAGTGCTTCACAGAATATGTGAATTGACTGTATTTCCCTGTTCCTTCTAAAATTTTGTTTTTCTGGTAGTTTAAGAGGAACTTCTTTACACAGAGAATGGTGAGAATGTGGAACTGACTGCTGGGAGGTGTGGTTTAGAAGCTGAGAACATTGATGTATTTAAGAGGAAACTTGATGTGTTTTTGCAGGAGAAGAGGGGAGTAGGTGTGGGGAATGGGAGGCGAGGGGTTTTGTGTAGAACATAAGTATTGTTGCAGATGAGTTGGGAAGTTTCTATGCTGCAGTGTTCATTATAATTCCATATAAAATGCAAGGATTATTTCTCCCCAACCTGATGCAGAAGATGCAAACCCAAAAATTCATTAATTTCAGCAAAAAAAACAACAGTAATAACTAATGAAACAGAAATCGATGCAAATACAAACAGAGAGAGCCGTGCTAAAGGGAAAATGGTGTTTGTGACACATTTGCTGCAGATACATTGCTGATTAAATTCGGATCCTAATGTGCTTGTGTTTGCTGGCGGCATGTGTCTGTTTAAATCGTACATTGTTCTTTAGCAAGAGGATAGAATACTTTTGTCAAGATTTATCCCTGACAGCCGAGCGGTGCCTGATTAAGTATTATTATTTGTTTACCCGAATTGGCTTGAGTAATTATACAATACAATGCAAAATTTGTACAGCGCCTTTCACGTCAGGAGGACATCCCAACGTGCTGATCCGAGAACATGTGCAATCATTTAATAATAATAATAATAATAAGAAGAAGAAGAAGAAATCTTTCATTTAATATAGTGCATCATCATGTCATTGAGGATTATTATTGTTGTTCAATTTTGCAACATTGCTTCCAGTTCTTGGAAGGCTACACATTAACTGAACGCCATTTGGGCATTTGTGGCTTTCCTAGTGTCTGCATTGGCTGTGGAGGAGTATGAAGACATGGAACAAAGCTTGGAGCTGGAGAAAGACCTTCGCAATAAGGCAGAGTCCTTCGCACACGAGGTATGAAAATCTGCAACCACCCATACATCAAGAAGATTCTACTGAATTAGTAGCTTCAGCTTTCCTTATTGTGTTTCAGTCATAACTGTGTCAATGATAAATCTTCAGAAAACTGCCAAAAACTCATTATTTTTCCATGACTTTCCTCTTTGTGGTGGAGGTAAGCGAGGTCTCCTTGGAGTTGAGCTGGCTCCAAGGTGACATGCCTGGCAACAGAATATCAGAATCGAACCAGCCCTCTATGGCGGTCTCGGTAGTCCGATTGCTGATAAAGGCGAGCCTGTAGTTTTCCACGGCACTCACTGCTGATGACAGCGCAGCCCAGCCTGGTTCATTAGCAGGACCTGGTAGGGCAAACCAGTCACTGGGGGCAGGGAGTCATCCCACTCAGCCCCGGCTAACCCTGCAGCCAAAGCTCTAATAGTTAGAGTGATCCTAGCAGGACAGACAACAACAATAATGAAATTACATTTGTATAGCTTCTTTCACGTCGGACGTCCCAAGGCGCTGGACAGACAGAGTGACAGACCCGAGCTGGGGGTCAGAGTCGGGGAGGGTAGAGGATAGAAGGCGAAGCAGGGAGAATGAAAGCACGATCGAAGAGGAGGCTCTTGAGATGAGTCTTGAAGGTAGCAAGGGAACGGGCAAGGCGGAGGGACTGCGGGATGGAATTCCAGAGGGGCACAGTGGCGGAAAGCCTGCCAGACAGCGATATCAATGGCAAGCTATGTGTTTTAGCTGGTTAGACTCCAGCAGTTACCCAGTGCAAAATCTGGGGTCCCCCCCAAGCCTTGGCTCTTGCCAACCTGCGCCTAATATTTTCTGGAATTAGGTAAGCAGGATGCATCCCTCCAGGAGAGAAAGCGCATTCCATCATTCTATCTCAGGGATTTCTATGTGTAGGTGGGATGCATGGAATTCTCAATTTGCTTTGGATACCCTTAAGCATCGTGATGGGTTTCTGCATGTGTCAGATTCCCGGCAGACCAAAGATATTTGTGCGTAAATTTGGCTGCCACGTTTGCCTACAAATATACAATCATTACACCTTTGCAGTAAATCACTACAAAATGCTCAGAAATGTTTTGACGACCCGATAAGTTGCTAAATCAAATCTTATAAGTGCGGCAGTTTGGGAATTTTTGTATTGGACTGCGAGAGAAACTGCCATCTCTAGACCCCATTAGTTGAATGACTTTCCGCTGAAGTTAAATCGGTGGTGAGGTTGGCAGGTTGTGATCGAGATCTCAGCATAGCTTCCTAGTCAGTGTGGATTCCGTTTCAATGTGGGTGGGATCTGGGATACGGGTGTGATGATGATTTTTAAAATTATTGCACTTGAGTCGATTTTCGATTCAGTGCCTTGGGACGTCCTTCCGACGAGAAAGGCGCTATACAAATGTAAATCGTTATCATTCTAGATGTTGGTTAAGTTGTACACCTGTCTCTTGCAGATGCTTGTTGAGCAAAAGAAACTTAAAAGGCAAAGTCAGTTCCTGATGGAAAAAATCGTGCCGAGTGAGCAGCTCTTGGAAGCACTGCGTGAGGTTGTTGTTCTGACTGGGACCATCGAGAATGAAAGAATTCGACACAAACAGGAGGTAAGGAGAAAATAATGAATAGAACACAATCTAACTCATTTGTCAGCTTGCCTATCCAAGAATTTTGTGAACCACATTCCTATTTGGTCGATCGGCGAATTGCTTTCTGAGAGTAATAATCCCTTCGAAATAAGTAAATAACAATAATAATAATTTGGTCACTCAATCGATGATTGTTTGTGGGACGCTGCTGTGCGCAATTAGCTGCCGTGTTTTGCTCACAAAATATACAGTCAATTCATTTTACAGTATATTGTGTGAAGTGCTTTAAGACATTTCGATGATGTGATAAGGCGCTACATCAAATGTAAGGATTATTTTTATTATAGTTATGTCATTATATTCTTTACAATGGCACGTGTTGGGAGAGAAAAGGTTTGGGAAATTGAAGAGGAAATTGGATAGATTTTGAGCACTGTAGCTATTGGAAAGATGGAGAATTGTTTTAACACAAAAGATAGTTATGGACTGGAAAAAGTTTTATTTACCAGGAAGGGTGGTTGAGTCCAGACCGCTGGAGAGACATCTTAATGCTGTGATGGGAAAACAATAGGGTGGATATTTTAAAAGGATGAGATCAAATCGGCTAAAAGACCTTCTTCACCCAAATCTCTCTTATGATCTTAAACTAAAACAGAGATTGCTGGGAACACTCAGCAAGTCAGGCAGCATCTAAAGAGAAGAGCAAAACGTCTTCAAGATAGACATTCCTAGAAGAGACGTGGCAGTGAATTAACCATAAATAAAACTCAAAATACTGTAGATTTTGGAAATCTGAAACACAAAGTTGCGCTCTTTCATGATCTTCTTGTATGCTTTTTGTCCAACTCTGGAACCATCCAGTTAGCCCAGTTAGTGGTCTAGTTTGGTTCTTTGGGGCTTTGGTTTCGGTACTATTTTGCTTAACAATGGGTGTGGAGGTAACATAGTCTTTAAAAACCTGGAAGTGCTGGATAAGTGCACGAGTATCTGTCTTGGAATGGAGGGTAAAAAATAGATAGAGACAATTAAATGCCTTGTGGATTACAACAACTTGCATTTATCCAGCACCCTTCACACAGGATAGTCACTGAGCAAGAGAGACTGGGGAGGGGAGGTGATCTGAGGTGCGGTCGAAGAGATGGGTCTTAAGGTGGGATGTAAAGATAGATAGAGATGGGGTGAGGTGGAGGTTATTGAGGTAGGGAGTTCCAGAGACCCATAGCGGCTGATGGCATGGCCACTGATGGTGTCATGGAGGGGTCGGAGATGAGGGCTCACAGTATTAATTGAGCAGGACAGTTCAGAACTATTGAGACCAATGAAATGTCATACCAAGAAAAGCCAATGGTTGCATAATGTAGATCAAGTCACATTATATATTCTGATCTTGATTTTGATTTACTCCTTTGGGAGAAACTTTGCTGAACATTTCCTTGCGCGATTGAATGAGCTATAGAGAGTCTCTGATAGAGCAGCTTCAAAGTGGTATGTGGATGACTTGGTTCAACTGGTGACTACAATTTTCTTGAACCGGTTCTTATATTATTTAATATTAGTTAAACAACCGTGTGAAGACATGAGCACTGAAGGATGAGCACTTGGGACAATAATCGCTGCACCTTAGTGCCCGCAGTCCATCACTCATTACCAGAAAGTACAAGCTTTTGCTGAATCAGGTTTTAATGTACAGGTATATAGTCCAAATGGCTTCGCTAACTTGCTGCAGCTTCTGCTGAGAGAGACTTGCGAAGGAAGCTGAAAATAAATACAAAAATGAAACAAAAAGAACTAGTGAAAGCCGCGCCACTATGTTCTATTGGCAGTTTAACACTATGAAATAATAATAAATAATAATCCTTGCATTTGATACAGAGCCTTATCATGTCTTCGAGACGTCTCAAAGCGCTTCACAGAATATATTGTTAATTGAATTGACTGTATACTTTGTGGGCGAAATGCGGCAGCCAATTGCACACAGCAGCGTCCCACAAACAGTCGTGGATTGAGTGACCAAATTATTCTTTTTTATTTATTTATTTTTAAGGGATTATTACTCCCAGAAAAGTAATCTGCTGATCGAGTAACAACCAGGTACCTACTTACTCCTAGGTAAACTGAGGCGTGTGGAGTAAGGAAACTTGCCCAACGTTGTCTAACGAAAGCTTGTTTGAAGACGTTCGTTTTTAAACTTTTCACTGGAAATTATTTATGTTGTAGTTAATTTACTTGTATTAATGTCAAAATATTGAATAAATATGAAGGCAAACAAATGTTTAATGGGGAAAGTTAGGATTGTTTCAAAGACTAGGGTAACTGTGACTGTCTGCCCGCACAACAAGGCCATAAAACAATAATCCTTCTGCCAATTGTTTGGAAGTTAGTGCAATTTTTTTGGTGTATAAAACGCCCGTATAAAAATTAATTTCCTCTTTCCACCCCTCCGCCCCCAGCATACAGCAATCAACTCAAAATACACTATCACTATTCTTTACAGTATATTCTGTGAATTGCTTTGAGAAGTCTCAACGATGGGCACTATATCAAATGCAAAGATTATTATTATTGTCATAATAATGTTATGGTCAGTCTCCTCCTTCCACCTCACAGCATCACAAAGGTCCTTACAGTCATCTTCCACCAGCGCAATGTCAAAAGAAGGGAGTTTTTCTGTGTGCAAATTGGCTGGTGGGTTCGCCTACAAAAACACACAGTCACTACACTTTACAGTAATCCTGTGAAGTGCTCCCTACAAGAAATATCTCTTGCATTAAGAAAGGCACCAAATCAAGCACAAGGATTATATTATTATAGATATATAGGCTTCACACTATATGCCAAATTTTCTTTGTTGTAAGTAAAGACAATATATAGTATTTGTTGGTCTGGTCACTGAGTGATGAACAGTGTTGATCTTAAGCGGTGAATGTGTATAAGACCTTTGCTTTTTTTTTGCTGTAAGATGGAGGATAAGGAAGAACAGTTAAAAAACTTACCAATGAAGAAGGAGATGATCGCTCTGCTGAAAAGGCTGGACCTTTTGGAGGAAGACAAGAAAGAACTCGAGTTAAAATGCAAAATCTCTGAGCAGAGAGGGAACGATCTGAAACATACCAGTAAGTGGTTTAAGTGCAGCTAAAGTGCAGAGAGCCAAGAATAGAATCCACGACTGTTTGTGGGACGCTGCTGTGCGCAATTGGCTGCCACGTTTCGCCCCCAAAATATACAGTCAATTCACTTCGCAGTATATTCTGAAGCACTTTGAGACGTCTCGAAGACGTGATACGGCGTGAAAAACTCAAGCCATAGAAAGAGCTTCCAATAACCGTAACAATCCATGCATTGTATCATCTCCATCCTGGAGTCCTTTCGACTCTCTTCCACACTTTATAGTCTGTCTCAAGACTTTGACTGCACTTTCAGTCATCACTTTCCAGGGGTAATAATCCTTCCGAAAGAAAAAAAATTGGTCACTCAATCCATGACTGTTTGTGTGGGCACTGCTGTATGTAATTGGCTGCCGTGTTTCGCCCATAAAATATACAGTCAATTCACTTTATAATATATTCTGTAAAGTGTTCGAAGACGTGATAGGGCGTTATGTCGCATTCAAGGATTATTAGTGTAAATCCTTGCATATCAAATGCATATTGTATCAACTCCATCCCGGAGTCCCTCCGACTCTCTTTCCCCCCTTCCCTCAGACAGACACTTTTATTGTCTGTCTCAAGACTTTGACTGCCCTTTCCAGCCCCGGTTGTGAAAGGTATTATATTAACTGCAAGAATTATTATTACATTGCTTCAGCACAAGAAGTATTTTATCGGAAATCGTTCTTAAATATTAAAGGAAAGGAAAAGGTCATTCTCTTGCAACAGAAAAACCCTGTTTCCCCAGCAGTAAGTAGGAACCCGGTTGTTAATCGAATGGCGGATCACTCTCCGGGGATAATAATCCCCTCAAACAATTAATAATAATTTGGTCACTTAATTACGGGTGTTTGTGGGAACGCTGCTGTGCGCAATTGGCTGCCATGTTTTGCCCACAAAAACACACAGTCACTTTACAGTATATCGTGTGAAGTGCTTTGAGACGTCTTGAAGATGCGATAAGGCGCTGTATCAAATGCAAGGATTATTATTATTATTATTACATGTTCTGCCCGTAACTGTTCTTTAGTGATGTTGATGATGCTCACCCCTTTTTCTGTGTCCCTCCGAGGCGGTTGATTGCTGATCGCTTTGCATTGTGACTATTGCCACAGTAACAGAGAATTTTCTTTGGCATTTCTCTTATTACAGTTGACGAATTGCAGAAGCAAATCCACCTCGCAGCCAACCCACAGCCTCCGCCTCCTCCACCACCACCTCCGCTCCCACCTCCTTCGACCACAACTTCAAATCCACTCAAGTAATAACTCTCACAAGTAGTATTTCACCCCCCTCACCTACCCACTACAACTCTTAGCAATGAATTTGTGCAATTTTGCAATGTATGTTAGGCTTACACTGCATTAAAATGTTGAAGTAATCAACAATGCTAATAATATTAATCGGATTGCCTGTCTTAAATGAAGATTCTGTTTTTACATCTTATCACTTAATATGAGACATTATACTCGGAATTGCTTGTAAAATATTCACGAATGGCGTGTGGGAGAGGTGAATAGATGGGGCGGGGGCTCCTATGGAGTAACAACACCGGTTGGGCCAAATTGTCCATTTCCATGGCATATCGTTCTATGTAAATTGTAACTTCACCTCAACTTTTATAGGCATCTTGGAAGATTTTCCGCTAGGGTTTGTGTGTGTGTTGTTTGTCTTCCACCTTATGGCTGCACCAACATCGTTGCTAAAGTGCTTTGGAGAAGTTCAGTGCTGTGCTGTATGTTTTTCTTGTAGAGTAATTTGCCTCTGGCTTGCTGCTGTATAAATGCATAGCCTTATTATCATCATGATTATGATTATTATTATTATTCATTCCAACAGAAATCTTATGGCGTTGGTTTATAAAAGGCAACAGGCTTCCCGATCATACAATGTGTCTGGTACTGAAAAGGACTCTTCAAATACATTGGGTAAGCAACAATATGGAAACCCTGTAATTGTTAGTTTCATTGAAAAGACCTTAAATAAAGGACCATTGGTTTGGGAGGGAGAGAGAGCGAGGGAGGGAGGGGAATGAATGGAAATGTAGTAACATCAATGCTGGAATTAATTTGAACTTTTTTCCATTAAATCTAAGATAATTGCAACAACAACAACAGCTTGGACTTACACTGCGTTTCATGGACCGCCCAAAAGGTCACCTTATCCATTGACGTCTGAGCTCACACCTCGCGGTGTACAGCTGGCCGAGCTCAAATAGTTTAAAAACAATTGCGCTCGTGAAGCACCTAGTTCACGGCTCGTTGTGTCACCAGCTGACAAACGCATTAGCTGAGAAGTTGTTGCCTTTGCAATGCAGTCTTGCCCCCACGCTCGCTCTCTTGACGCGCTTTATGAGAGGGCGAGTTCGGCCCACCTTCTTTGTTAACTAGCCGTCGGCTGAAAGAAAAAAACTGTTGGACTAAACTGCAGGCATTTACCTCGGCTTCAGCGATGTGCACAGCCCGGCCCCCGAAAGTCAGCAAGTTTAGGCAAAGCGGCAAAAGCCGGCATTAAAGAGGCAAATTTCTAAGTCTTAAATTAAAGATTTAAATTAAATCCCAGAGGGTCGGATAATTGGACTCGAGGTGCAGATCAGCCATGATCTTATTAGAATGGCGGAACAGGCTCGAGGGGCTGAATGGCCTCCTGCTGTTTCTATGTTTCTAAATCTGCATTTGCGTGGGGGGAAAAAACAACACCTAAACATTCCTCTCCCTGTGCCTCGGACCACAGACTGAACCACTGTAGTACGTGTTGCAAAATGGGACTGAGGAGAGGGCGATAAATAAGCATTTTATAAAGTTATGCTGGAATCTTTTAATTTATCCTTATTATCAAGGCTGAATAACGTTTGTCCTGGAAAAAGGAAAGTATTCCATTATTGGGACCAATTGAATGTAAGGAGCTCTTCCAAACTGATAACAGCATGGGTGTGGTTCAGAATAAGTGTTCTCTACTCTTGTGTCCGCTCGGTTGGCTCTGGCCTTCTGCTTTGCCCCTCATCCCCTCCGCTCCACCATCGGTACCCGCACTTCCAGCCACTACGCTTCCAGCCACCCGAAGCTTTGGAACCCTCTCCCCCAGGTCCTTCGCCTTGACCCCTCCTTCCCCTTCTTTTAGATCGCGACTGAAGACCTTCCAATCCTTACCATCACCTCCTCCCTCCCCTCACCACCCCCCCACCCCAGGTTCGGTGTCAGGCTCCGCCAGTGTTAAGCGCTCCAAGACGCTTCCCGGCTGTGTAAATGCAAGTTGTTGTTGTTGCCTTAAACACAAGGTCAGTCGAGAACATCAGAATCCTAATAGGTAACCTGAGATTGTCAGTGTGTGTCACATTCACACTCTGGCCAGTCTGTTGTGTGCGTGAACCTTGTTCGCACTTGGAGCTGTGTTGACGCTATCTGAACCTGTTCCATTCAGGACACTTGCAGTAATCAGATGGGATTCATTATTTTCCCTTTACTCCTCTTCCCATCCGTCTGGGCTGAATTTGACCCCGGATCCCAGAGGTGAAAGGACAGTGCTTCTGCTTGGCTTTGCCGATCAGCTCCCACCCACTCTTTGACCACTAGCGGCAATTTAAGCGCTCAGACAGTAAACCCTTTCATCTGCTCATGTTCCATGCAGACATTCACCGCATATTAATTAATGTCTGCACTGCCAGTTGATCTCATTGCTCTTTGGCAGTAATCTGCTTCTTAGTGTGGATTAATGAGTTTTAGCTTAGGTTTTTCCCTTTCCCCCACTTAGTAATGTTCTCACTCTCCTGGATTCCCAGCGTCTCTCCGTTCTGCACTGTTCAGCAGACGATCTTCAAAAAGTGGGATCTGATTTGTGTAAAGAAAAGTTTTTCCGGGATATTATTAAACTCGTTAACCCTTAACTTGCTGAGGATGGCTTTCCCCAACCAGAGCTTGCTTCTGTAACTCACTGACGAGTACTCAACTGTCCGCAGCCTCTTCACATTTTCTACCAACTCGGGCTTTGGCTACTGGGGATGAGGGTACTTATATCTCCCAAGTCTGACTTGCATCATCCTTCCAGACATCATCAATTGTCAGATAGCCCAGCACCACAGAGATCCCACTATTTTAACAACCATATTAACCAGTTAACAGAGTAACTCGGGCACAGATGCCATTCTAGTACAGTACATGCATCTACAGTTATGGGTGGGCAAAAAAAATGCATGTGTACAGAATACCTGTAATATTGGAGTTGTACAGTTTTATCATGTTATTAATCATGCTTTAAATCTTTCCTGATGCACAGGAGGCAGTTTGGAGGACTTGAAGCAACAAGCAGTCGATGAAATGATGGAACGAATTAAGAAGGGGGTTAACCTTAGGAAAGTTAAGCACACGGACAGGGTAATAGCAATGGGTTTTTCTTGTTACCTTTAGTTTGCAAAACTAAGCCAAGCAATAGCCAGTTTTTGCAATAATCAAATGCAAGGAGTATTATTCGTTTTTCAAACGTGATTCACTACATTGCACATTATTCTAAACTGAAACCCGCACTGTGGAAGTGTACGAACAGTTCAGGAGTGAATTAACATCTGTCTGAAAGCATTAATTGGATTTCAATTTGATTTCGCTTCATTGTCATAGAATTGTATGGCATAGAAAGAGGAAATTGGATGCCCGTATAGTTTTGACCGTAAAATATACAGTCAATTCACTTTACAGTATATTCTGTGAAGCACTTTGAGACGTCTCGAAGGCATTATAAAGCTCTATCAATGCAAGGATTATTATTATTATAAAGATGCCTTTCGGCCGACCTAAATCTGATCTTCATCACTTGCACGTGCTGAAGATCAGATTAAATAAGTCAGTCGAGACTCTTCAAGGTTTCAAACAGTTTGAATGTTATAACTTGTAAGCACATTATTGTCTCGTTTTCTTTGCAGCAAATGCTATTTCGTTCTATTATTTCAGTTCCCGAAAACGGTTTGCACTGAAGCACATTGCTTTGTTTTCATTCAATCGCTATTCTCCTTAAAAAAAAACTAATGTCAGATTATTTCAGTGAGGCAATCCTTTTCAGCCCACTAAGTAACAGTAGTAATAACAATCCTTCGGTTTGGTATAACGTCTTTCACAACAAGAGAACGTTTCAAAGCTCTTCACAGGATTCTGGTGACTGTATCTTGCAGATAAATGTGGCAGTCCGTTTGCACATTGCAGCATCCCACAGACAGACGTATAAGTGAATATTATCTTGTGGGATTGTCAGCCAGGACATTGGGAGAAATTTCCTTCTCTTTCCGAATCGTGCCACGGGTGTCTTTAGAGCCCACCCGAACAGGCAGACTAGGTTTAAGATCTCATGCCGAAGGACGGCAACTCTTACACTGTGGCACACACCCCAGCACTGCATTGGAGTGTCAGCCTAGACTGTGTGAATTCAAAGACCCGACGTGGGGCTTGAACCCACGAGCTTCTGATTCCGAGGCGAGAGTGCTACCAACAACTGAGCCAGGCTGCCGCAGTTTTTCAGGTGATCTGTTAATTGCTTCCCCTTTGTTTGTTTTTAGCCTCCCGTGTTCATGCGCAAGTCTCAGGAAAGTGCTGTACAGGAGCTCAAAGGAATGTTGGTAAGGCTTAAGGGTCTCTCTCTCTCCTCTCTTTTTCTCTCTCTGAAACAACTGTACAATTTTGTTCTGACAAATTAATAACCGTCAGGTTAACATGGATCGGAGCAAAGTGATGTAGCTGTATTGATTGTTTGTGATTTTGCTGTTGGTGTTTTTGAATTAATCCAGAGAGAATGTCAGGAGCCTAATGTAAAAGTTCCCCTTTGACGGAATACTAGCTTGCTTTGACTGGGGGTAATTGTCGATCATCTACTCATTCACAAAAAAAAATGTAGCCTTGTCAACTCTTCCAAGACAGCCGAAAAAGATGTCGCAGGTCCGAGCTGTGAAAGGCAGTTTTAGTGCAGAAACCAGGATATATTTCTTTACGTAGCTCGGGTAACTGATCATTGGAAGCGGTACCAGGAGGATGGTAGTGCACTGGAATAAGTTAAGAAATGATGAGACGCTGCAACAACAGTAAGATGACAGTGTTGGTATCCTGGAAGGGTGAGATCATATTGGCCAAAAACATTCTTCATCCGAAAGTCACGTGCAAACAGTGACCTGTTTTAAGAGGCGATTCACCTTAAACACTCCTGCGTACAAATCTTATCGGGTCTAGATATACTCCTTTTGTCCAATTCTCAAATTGAGTCTTCCGTTTTGAAGTCGGTTTTATGTTAATTTCTTGTTTTTAAGGATGACAGGAAACAAGCTTGAAAGTAAAAACTGAGGTCCAACAATTCATAGAATCATAGAATATTACAGCACAGAAGGAGGCCATTTCGGCCCATCGTGCCTGTGCCGGCTGTTTGGAAGAGCGACCCAATCAGTCCCACTCCCCCCCCCCCTGCCCCCTACTCCCTGAGCTTTCCCTATATCCTTGCAAGTTTTTTCTTTTTCAAGTAACTATCCAATTCCCTTTTGAATGTTGTTGTTGAATCTGTTTCCACTACCCTTTCAGACAGTGCATTTCAGACAGCAACTGTGTGTATATTAAAAAAAAGTCTCCTCATCTCCCCCCTGATTCTTTTGCCAATTATCTTGAATCTATGTCCCCGGTTACCGAACCACCTGCCAGTGGATATAATTTTTTCCGATCGACTCTATCAAAAATGGTTGCCAAACTCTGCATACTTTGAAAAGCTACCTTTAAATAGAGTAAATCTAGGACCAGGTGGGATTTCACTCCTTGCACGTATTTATTGACCTTGAAATAGTTGTTAGTCCTTCCTGCTTTAACGGCAACTACTCTTAAGTGTACATTAAGTTTATGAAGGCAAATAATCCGAGGAGCCAGCTTCCATTGCTCTGACTTTAAACTGTATTTGTGTATAATTTGTTGCTTCTCTCCTGAAGAAATCGAGTAAAGCTGGAACGTTGACAACTGTTAAAGAGGTCACAGAGGAAAATGAACTGGAGAGGATTCTGCGGGTCAGGAAAGCATCGACAGAGAATAACGTCAATCACGGCAAGTCCTTCGGTTTCCGTCTGGTGTGGAATTGCTGCGGGTCTGCACGACATGTGGAAAATCTTCCTCATTGCTCAGTGCCTTCTCTCTTTTTTGTAAAAAAAATAGCAATCTTTTGTTGTATCAAGTGATCCCTTCTAAAAGGTCACCATCGGTGGCCGCGCTTTCAGCCACTGAGCCCCGAAAGTCTGGAACACTCTCCCTCAATTCCTCCGCCTTGCCCTCTCCTTCCCACCGTCTTCAGGTCCACGCCTGAAGACCATACATACAATAACCCCCCCCCACCACCACCCCACTGGCTCGGTGTCAGGCTCTGCCACTGTCAAGCGTTCTGAGACTCTGCCCTGCGTGAGGGGCGCAATATAAATCCAAGTTGTTGTGAAAGATGCCATTCGCTTGTTTACAGTGCTCCAAGGTACATCCTGTGTGCAGGGCGCTATATAAACACAAGCTGTTGTTGTCGACTCAGTAAATATAGAAATAAGCCTATTTTAGTTCATGTGAAACCATTTCTGAATGAAGATCGTTCATGTTAGCTTTTATAAAATAGACATTTTTGACCGTGGAAAAAGGGGGTGGAAATTCCACCTGGTTTTAGATTTACTCTATTTATATAGTGTTTCAGAGCCACAAGATTTCGGCAAAATTCTCAAACACAGCCTTCATTTTGAAGCTGTTTTTCTATAAGGTTTGTTTTTTGAGAACAACGGAAAACAGGGTTCAACCTCAAACCACTGAATTCAACAATTTACTAAATAGTGGACCCTCAGAAATGCTGCATAAATAGAGCAAATCTGGACCTGGGCGGAAATTCTCCTCCATTCTAAGCAGTCTAATTCGTAACTTTTAAAAGAGGGCTAAACATTTTCATTCTGATAATCTTAGAATCATGGAATATTACAGCACAGAAAGAGGCTATTCGGCCCATCGTGGCTGTGCCAGCTCTTTGGAAGAGTGACCCAATCAGTCCCACTCCCACGCTCTTTCCCTATAGCCTTGCAAATTTTTCTTTTTCAAGTAACTATCCAATTCCCTTTTGAAAGTTGTGATTGAATCTGTTTCCATCACCCTTTCGGGCAGGGCATTCCAGACCGTATAATATAACGGCAGAAGAGTAGTTTGTAGCTCAGTTGTTAAAGCTCTCACCTCTCAAGCAATAGGACCAATTGATGGATAGCTTTTCCAGGTGTAATGATCCCTTTTTAATAATAAAGTAAATAATAATAATAATTTGGTCACTTTAATCCACAGCTGTTTGTGGGACGTTGCTGTGCGCAATTGGCTGCCGCGTTTCGCCCACAAAATATTCAGTCAACTCAATTTACAGTATATTCTGTGAAGTGTATTGAGATGTCTCAAAAATAATAATTATATTATTACATAAGCCATTCAAAGCTATTTGGGCAGGAGTTTTTGAGAAGGTGCTCTGAGGCGTAGTGGGATAATAGTGTGATAATAATAATAATCCTTGCATTTGATATAGCGCCTCATCACGTCCTCAAGATATCTCGATGCACTTCACAGAATATACTGTCAAGTGAATTGACTGGTATATTTTGTGGGCGTTTTACTGGTTTAACTGAAGTATGCGCACTGTGTTTAAAAGTTGAAGCAACGGTAAACCCCCATCCAACGGTAAAAATCTAAGTGGAGAGTCACGAATGTATTTTATTTCAGGTTCATCACGTGGAACAATGGGAATGATGTCCCAGTCTATGCCCACCTTAAACACGGGAAACGAATTCATTAGAAAGGGGTTTAATCGCACCCATTTGAAGAGGGAGCTGAGCAAGAATGCGAACCCCAAAACGCCTCTTCCCAATTCAGGTCCAAGTCAAGAGGAAGGAGATGACTGCTCAAGCCTTAACAATCTGTGAGTTCTGATCGAAGCCTCCGGTGCATTTAGATTTGTTGTTTTAGATCAGCCTCTCTGCTCCCACAGTCCCTCCGCCTCTCCCCCTCCCTTGCCTCCTTCAAGACCTGTCTCAAAACCCTCCTCTTCGACCGTGCCTTCAATCACCCTCCTACCCTCACCCTCCTCGCCCTGCAACCCTCTTGATCCCAACCCCCAGCTCGGGTCCAAATCCCTGACTGTCCAGCCCTTTCCAGGGACGTCAAAGGCAATATACAAATGTCATTTGTTGTTCTTGTCGTTGTTGTTCCTCGCTGTTAATTTCCGCTAAACAATTCATGCTTTCTGTGTCTCTAAATATACTTTTGAACACACATTTGGGGGGGGAAAATAGCCTGCGGCAATTTTTGCCAGGGAAAATGCCGCCCGAGAAGGCATTCCTTCTCTGCACTTGTAGAGTAATTCTCATTGTGTCCTGTTACTTACTCAGATATCTTGAATTTTTTTGTAGAACCTGCATGTATGAAGTAAAGAAAAAAAGAGAACTAGGTACATGATTCTGGTGCTCCATCTTCATCAATAATCAGCCCATTTCAGAATAACTTAGTTCTTGCAGCACCACGAACAAGATGGTCTGCTGAGTAGGAGTATTAAAATCCTGGGAAATTCGTTAAAGACCCTGGAGTCCTGTCGCTCAGTGGTTAGAGCACTCGCCTCGCAAACGAGTGGACTTGGGTTCGATTCCCGGTCAGGGTGAAACTTTGGGCAAGTTTCCTTACTCCACACACCTCTGTTTACCTAGTAGTAAGTAGGAACTTGGTTGTTAGTCGATTGGCGGATCGCTTTTCTGGGGTGTAATAATCCCTTTTTGAAATAAAAGTAAATAATAATAATTTGGCCACTCAATCCACGACCGTTTGTGGAACACTGCTGTGCGCAATTGGCTGCCGCGTTTCGCCCACAAAACATACAGTATATTCTGTGAAGTGCTTTGAGACGTCTCGAATAAGTGATAAGGTGCTATATCAAATGCAAGGATTATTATCATTATTAAGACCCCATAATGATGTGCCGAGTTGCTGCATCAATTTTTGTTTTGGCCATCTGGGTGTCTGAGACATTGGGAAACCCATCCATGTGCTGCAGAGTATACAAACCAGACTGAGAGTTCCATGTGTGTCACCGACACATGGAAATTCACATATTTGAAATGATACTAAATCAAATGCAAAGATTATTATTATTATTATTTACCTGCTGACATTTAGATTATTACATCTCCACTATGCTAGAAAAGCATTGGTGCTAAATTTACATCAAAGTTTACTTGCAACAAATTCCATCTGTGTGATTGTTTTCCATTTTTGAAACATGATAAGTAAAGGCAATATTATATATATATATGTAATTGAACAGATTCATAGATAAATAGATAAACCCAATTTGTGTTGATAATTGAATTTATCTATTTATGACTTGATAATTTATATCACCCATGTCCAAATGCCACACTTTTTTAAATATATATATAATACTTTATAATATATAGTATATATAATATATGTAAAAGTTTAGTTGACTCAAAATGAAACTCAGAAGCTAAAGGAAATGAACTCGGTGACTCCTGTTGTGACTTCAAGTGTCATATTAACCCCAACTTAAAGGTGAACACTTCAGTCTTAGCGTATAAGCCTTTGTGAAAAAAACAGCGTGTTTGTTTTTTCTACTCAAGTGACAGTAATTCTGTCCTCTGTCGCATACAGTACTAGGATGTCCGATAGTTCATCAACATAAAAAAAAGTGAGTAAGTGAATTAGTGGGGGGAGATCAGTTGGTTGCAGTCATTGGTAATTGAAGCTTTGATGTCTTGTACTGTTGTGAAATAAATCTAGCTTTTACAGGTGTTTGCCTCTCAACGATTATAGGGGAGTTAAAAGAGGTTAAGTCAGTACAAATAGGAACGGAAATTGCTTCCTGATCCATGTCCTATTACTGATGTTCTTGCATTCCATTGTAGCAGTCTCTCTCCGCCTCTCTCTTCCTCTCTCTCTCTCTCTGTCTGTCCTTCTCTCTCGCTCTCTCTTTTGTAAGGACAAGTGATCATTTCTTGAATGGTGTGAGGAATCGTGAAACCCGAGAGACAAATTGGACAGTGGGTTCAATGTATGAGTGTGAGCGTGTGAGCAGATGTTCCAGCCGCTGAACTGATTTTGCTGAGCAAATTTGCTGAGCAAAGCGAGTCCAGACCATGTAAGGTGGGGCCGTGCTGTACACCAGCATCCTGTTCTTGCTGATTAAATTTATTTCACAGTCCGTTTGCGAGCCACAATGCCCGTTGTACAGTGGACAAATAACAGGAACAAATTTGATTTGCGCAAGTGAGTGTTTGCAGGATGTGTCTTTTGTCAAGGTGTGCGGATTTCTGTCTGGGCTCCAAAGATTAGGTTCTTATTAACTTTATCCCCAAAGCAGCGAAGGTGCCAATGATTTATCCTCCTCTATAATTTATTCTACCAAATGAGGCGCAAATTACCTTAACCGGGAAGGAAATGAAATAAACCTGGGCAAAATGCAGGCACAATGCATGTTAAATTGAAACTGAAAAGCACCTTGCATTTTGCTGTTCCAGCCTGTCACGGTTGTTAGATGATATAAAAGAGTTACGTGCACTTTCTCATTTAGCCCACTGCCTGCTTATTAACCGATTGAAAAATGACACTTCGGGATAAACTCTTTGCTGTTAAAATAAGCAGGTTCTCACTTTCCCCGGTTAACCATTGAACTGCTGGAGTTAAGCGTACAGATTTGATCGCAAATGATGATTTTAGAGTCCAGTAGCTTCGTGGTGAGAGCACTCGCCTCGCGAGCGAGAGGACCTGGGTTCGATTCCTGGGCAGGGAGAAACGTTGGCCGAATTTCCTTACTCGGTGGGCCTCTGTTTACCTAGCAGTAAGTACAAACCTGGTTGTTAGTCGATTGGCTGATTCCTTCAAAAAAAAATTAAAAATAATAATAATTTGGTCACTTAATCCATGACTGTTTGTGGGACGCAGCCTCCTGCAATTGGCTGCCATGTTTCGCCCACAAAATATACAGTCAATTCACTTCAGAGTATATTCTGTGAAGAGCTTTGAGACATCTCAAAGCCATAAGGCAATATATCAAATGCAAGAATTATTATTATTTTGCGACGTATAGGATCTTTAAAGAGATTGGGCTCCTCACTAAAGTTCAGGTATACTGATATTTTGCCACGTTATTTAATATATATATTGTTTATGTTTTTTCTGGCTTAGAGGGAAATCCGCAGATTATTGTAGCACTATAATAAACTTTCAAATACAAACCATACAAGGGGATCTATCTGATATAGTGTGTCTGTGCAATGTATAGTATATAAATACTATAATCTTTCAGTTTGATATGGCGCCTTATCAGGTGGTCAGTGTCTTAACGCACTTCGCAGTATTTAGGGTAAAGTGTAGTCATTGTATTTGTAGGCAAATGCAATAGCCATTGAATATCTTTATTAAGGAATCTGTTATTGAAGCAAGGCAAACCATATAGTTACACTTCATTTTGCCAGCCAGGAGAGAACCTGCCTCCCAAACCCTGAAAGCTTTACCTTGTGTCGAGCCTGACCAATGTTCTCCAATATCAACGTTATCAACAGCTCACCACTACTAACTTGACTGTACTTGTTCAACAGCCCAAGGGCATGGAAACACTTTTGCCTATAATTGGTAATAATCCTTGTGAGTATTTGACCCGTCCTGCATTGTAAAGTGCTGTGGGAAAACCCGTGGTGTTAAACCTGGTTTAAAAACCTCTCCTACTGGGCTGAGTAAATGCTTTACATACATGAAAGCGTACACTTCCTCGCAGATCAAATGCACGGGAAGCGATAGCTGAAGCTGAAATTCTTGAAAGTTTATGCAATCGGTGAGTTTTGCTCTGGCCGACAATTCCCCCCCGCCACCCCCCCACCCCCCCACCCCCCCACCACCTCCAGACAAAGTCATGTCTGTTTGCAGAAAAATTGCTGTGCCCAAATTGGCTTCTGAGTTCGCCTACAAATACACGCTCTCTGCACTTTACGGTTTAATCCTGTGAAACGCTTTGAGACGCCTCGACGACGTGATAAGGCGCCCTATCGAATGCCAGAATTATTATTAATACTATTATCATTATTGATAAGCTTACTTCTGAACATCAGCCTTTTGGTATCTGTAAGTACCAGCATAAATTTGAGCGTGACTTCCGATTGTAGGGTAAATCATTAAATCTACTGTGTGGGTCTTTCTGTACTGTGCTGTATTAGGACATCCACTTATTTTGTTACTCACCAATTTTTGTTAACTCTTGTCTTACCTCCCTTTCCCCCTTCCCACCACGAAAACCGTACGTCAAACAATAGGAGCACATTAGACCACGGGCAATAAACCCAGTTATTTGCAGCGACCTGCAAATAAATGACTGTTACTAGGACTGTGTTCACAACATTTTGAATTGAGTGACTGTTTTATTCCCCTGAAATTATAATGAATGCTTATTAGGGTAAGTTTCTGTGCGGAGACTTGGGGAGCCTTGTGTCTTTATATAAATCCCTGCTTGTGGCTAGTAATTAGTAGATTGGAGCTTCCTACTTTTTCATCACTGAGTCAGCAGGTGACGAAAAAAACAAAGCACTTATTAGGTCAGAGGTGGAAGTGACCAGGTGCTGGGAACTACAGAACCATTGTCACAGAAAGCATTTTGTTGCGGTGGAGTCTTTATTTCATGTCAGCTGGGCTTGTAAGGTTTCTGCGAGTTATTTTTTTCGGCCCCTGGTCTCAGCTTGCTCAGCTAATCCCAGTCAAGGTGGAGGGATTTGGAATAAGAGGCAATCATTCTCTGGCACTGTCACTCACAATTTATAATAATAATCCTTGCATTTGTTATAGCGCTTTATCACGTCTTCGAGACGTCTCGAAGTGCTTCACAGAATATGCTTTAAAGTGAATTGACTGTATGTTTTGTGGGTGAAAGCGGAAACCAATTGCGTACCGCAGCGTCCCACAAACAGTCGTGGATTGAGTGACCAAATTTTTATTACTATTTCTTTTTTCTTATTTTTTGGAGAGAGAATTGGAATAATTTGAATCTCGCTGCAATCCAGCTGCCAAAACCATGTGGAGGATATTCAGCGAATTCATTCTCAATCCAGAAGTGTTTCGAGTAATAATAATGGTTGTGTTTGATATAGCGCCTTATTGCATCGTTGAGATGACTCAAAGGGTTTCACAGAATATACTGTAAAGTGTATTTTGTGGGCAAAGCAACCTTTGAAAGGTTACTCTGTTCAAGAGCCCATTGTGGAGGGAGATGGTATGAGAAGGGCTGAATTGGGTAGAGGTGGGGGGTGAGGTAAGGTTATGATAATCGGTTTCAGAACAAGAAGAAAGACGGAAGAAATGATATGACAATTGGGTGGAAAAAACGCTTTGTGCTGGTGCGTGTACATGTAGTCCGACACATGCACCTGTGGCATGCACAAAGTGAGAGCTGGA